ATACATTGTTCATGAATAAAAACAACAAAAGAAAAACAAAGGGTCCCTTTTTAAAATAATCGTCTATTCTTCTTTTTTGTAAGTTTTGTGTCTTGGAAACAGAGTTATGATTAAAGGTTCTCTTTTTTGCCAATCGGTAGCTTAGGGAGTTTCCTACAGAAAATATTCAAGAAGATTCTTAATAATTCAGATGCTAAGTTTTCTACGGTGTTTCTAAAAATGGCAATTCCAATTGTCAATGGGGGGTAAAGGGTTAAATAAGATATAAATGAATAAAAATGAGAGGTTACACCTCAGGAGGCTACCTCGTTAGTGAAAGGTACATGTTTTCCAAAAAAAGCAGAAATACTTACGAAATAAATTGTGCAGATTCTGAAAGTAGAGTTCTTGTTCTATCATTCTATAAGAGAAACTTTGTTCAAACAGTTTCCCTATTGGAAGAAGTATCCACGTTTTCTCAACTAATGTTTTTCTAAAAGATCGAATTCAGTGTAGTCAGTGTGCACACTTTAGAACAGCTCCAAGCTCGATGAAACTTTCTCAAAATGCTTTCTTTTCTGCTTGAAACTTTTACTCAGTTGATCTAAAAATGCATAAACACTTCTGAACCAAGATATAGATCCTCTAAAAACATCTTGGCTGTTAAAGATTTTCTGCATTCTTTTGTCTCAACAATAATTTAAGAAAAACTTAAGGACATATTTCGAGCCAACACGAAAAATTGCATCGAATAATGTGTCATTTGTTAAGTTTTAAAATAAAAATCTGTTAGGAATTTCACTTTTCTCTATGAATCTTTTTGAGTGCTAGGAATTAATATTTCTATGAAAAAAATATGTTTTTCACAGAAATTATTCCATGTCTACATGCTCTATAGAAATTGTTCATTATTGAGGAAGATCTATATTTTTATCTTTACAGTTCAACAGTTCTTTTCGATCGTGTTTCACAAAAGAAACTGAAATAACAGGCAAGAAAAAATGCACTAACTTCGAACTGCTGAACTTCCTTCATGAGATGTTGGTCGTACACCATTTACATGACTAACTTTCATTTTTTTTGCAAGATTTTGTTGATGAGATGGTCGACTTAATTTTGGTGCATGAGTATTTAATAAACGATTTGGACTTGATAACATCGTTGATGATGATAATGAATTTGTAGTTCGATCTGTTGGATCGTGCATTCTGTGTTTATATTTTCTTTTTTTTTTCTAGTGTTTAAATTTAATCTAAAATTTTCATTTAATCAATACACACAAAGATTTTTTAAAAAGTTTTTTGTAAAGAAAAAAAATTGAAAAGATCGACTTCATGAGTAAAAAAAACACGCGTACATTTAAACATACATACTCACAAAATTGAATAATACGAAAATTTATCGAAACAATGAAAAAGTTTAGTTTTCTGCTTTTCTTTTTCTGTTTTTCTTTGATCGTGACTAGTGATTAGACTTGATCAGTTGATTCATCACGTTTATATGAATTAATAGTTGTCTGCTTTGTTGAATTTTTTTTCGATATTCTCTGACAGTCACTTTCAGGCATCAGCTCAACAATATCATCATCAGATGATAAAGATATTGTACGGCGTTTGTTATTTATATTCTCAGCTGGAGTTGGAAGCGGTGAAGAGATAGATGATAATGATATTGATGATCGTTTTTTTCTTAAACGTGAATCATCATCATCATAATCATCATCATGATTATTTTCATCAGCTAAGATTGAAGATGTTGGTGATTCTTGAAGAAGTTGATCAACTGTATATTTTGTATCATTTGGTATTAAATTTTGATCATGATAACGACAATAGATTTTTTCTACAATACCATTTATACGTGTAGATTTTTCTTCAAGTTGTTTAGTTAATTTATTTGAATTTACTGTTGGACGTCGACGATTTTCATGAGAATGATAATGTTGTTGTTGTTGTTGAAGCTCTTTTTGATAAGGCTAAATAACATAAATGAAATGTTTTATATATTAAGAAAATCAAGTATTATGCCATGAGTTGTTTTTTTTCCTCTTATAAATGTATGGTTGTGAGGGAACTATTCGAGCTGTAATTCGCCGTTGGAGCTTACAGGAAAGTCTTGCTAAGATTAGAATAAGTTTTAAAAGTTTTACGTTCGATGACTTATGGAGCCAAGTTATGACCATTTTACTGAATTGTCGACCCGTTGTTTTTATGCATTTACTAGAAAATCGGATGACAGAATTTCAACCTGCAATTTGTCCATAGATAGATGTAATGGTCCTTGGAATAGCTTGAAAGTTTTAGCTAAAAGAAATGTTCCTTTATCGAGATATGAAATATTCAAGTAAGCTCAATTGTTGTGACATGTATTTTATCACAAGTGACTATTTGTTGGAAATTCAATATCTTGAAAAAGGAATATTCTTTTCGGCTGAATATTTCAGGATATTCTAAGAATCATTAGATCTATTGATGAGCTTAGTTTCAGATTGAAATTTCATTATTTGATTTTCCAATAAATACCTATAAAATGGGTCAAAAATTCAGTAAAACGGTCATAACTTGCCTTTAGAGATGTACGATAACGAATTCTTTTAGAATTTTGCTAGTCTTATCGAGACCTTCTTGTGAGTCTGATATGATTTCAAACAGTGAATTATGGTTGAAATAATTTTCTTCTTATGAAAATTTAGTAGTTAGGACTTTAAACGTTTTCATGATAACATTAATATGGTGAATAAAATCGATTCATCGAAAATAGCATGACCTTATCTCATATGAAATTAAAGTTCATACTACGCACAAAGAAAATTGATTGAGACATAAAAATAGGATTACTATCATGTGGGATAAAGGTTATAATTAATTGTATGAGATCCTTTTTCAAAAATTTGCATATTTTTAAGTATCTAAGGATCATAGTGTTCAATTACGATGTGTAAATTTTTCATACGATAGAAATAATTTCTAGTAATTCATCATTCTAAGAAAGATTTTTATATGTATAAAACGAAAAGATGAATATACAAACTTTTCATTTCATTACAACATTGGATTTATAGAATCCATATGTTTGAAATTAGATATGAGGAAGAATGCTTTTCTTATAGAAATAAATATGTAAACATCGCATATAACTTCTTCGTTTTAAGTAAGGATAAATTTCATTGAATGTTGAAGTTACAAAGTCCAATTCTTAATACAAACCTGATACTCGCGTTTAATTGACAATCTTTCAACATAATTATCAAAACAATAAGATTTTGTATTAATTCCATAATGTCTTGCTTTTAATAGACGTGTAAATGTTCTTGCTGATTTATCAACACGATATTCACATATAAATAAATCACTTGATAGCACTCGACTACTATTATCACTTATTGGTTTACCTTTACAATAAGTTCCTATATCCAATACAAAACATGGACGAACAATTGAACTTATTGGTAAAGGATCATTTGACGATGGAAAACGAAATACTTCATTAGGGAAAAATTTTCTATTTGGTTCATGAAATGTTTCATTTGGACGTATATAATAATATCCAGATGCTTGTCCAATACCATAATCATCAATCCAAAGACGTTCAACAAATAGAATATCGTATTCAGGCGATGTTAATGATCTATCAATATTTTTTTCATCTTGTTTTGGTACAAAATAACATTCATTTATACGTATTATAAAACCATCTGAACGTGTTAATATTGAATATGAACTATGATTATCATCATATGTTTGCAATGGTGATAAAGTCGCAGCTATAATCACATTAGTTTTTAAACAAGCTGATGGATTATGTTCACATGCTGGCTGACATTCAAAACAATAATATGGTCGACTGGAATCAACTATTGAAACACAGGCGACATGTTGCCATAACTTAAATATATAGGTAAAATAAACTGTTTAATGAAATTTCATAAATTATAGATTTGTTTTATTACTAGTTTTATATAATTATAATTCAAGCTCCGAACTTATATATTTTTAATGAATAGTAAAGATAGAACTGTTTGAGAGTACTGCACAGATTTTTTTTAATAATGGATGTATCGAATTGCAAATCCAGTCAAATATAAGAATAGGATTTAATGCCTCCCTAGTTTTTATAGATATAGATTTAAGGTGAACTTTTCGACATAGAACATTCATTTAATTCTACTTAAAAGACTCAAAGAATCTCAAGATTTTATTTTTTTCTATCTGCTAGAACTATGACGTTTGTCAGTATTTTTGATCTTAACACCATCATGGATTTGACAAATTCATTTTTTTTACTTAAATAATCATCGTAGATAGTGCCACAAAGTCTAAATACACGAAAAGATTTTCTGAGAATCGTTGATTTTTATGACTGAGTCTCCATGAAAATATCCAATTATAATACATTATCTCATACTAGAGGTATGAAAGATTACTCTACCGTATTCATCACGATAAGAATAAACACTTTGCAGGGTAGGATTACGTTTAGAAAATTTTTCTCAGTCAGAAAACAGGGTGCAAAAAAAAATAACAGTTACCCTGCACATCTATATCTCATACAAGGTGATAGATATTATTATTCAGCAAGTTCTACTCAAGATTTTCTTTTCTATATTAGACTATTTGGAAAGTAATAATCTTTTCAAAATTAATAGATAAATTTATTATTCTTAGTCTTACTTGACAAGCATAACATTGCACAAGTGAATTCTCATCATAAACTGATCCACATCGACAATGTACAATACAATCTGATGATGTTCTTGATCTTGATGTTCGATGTGAATTAACATTACCAGAAAGTACTATTTTATAAATAATTGGTGAATCGTCATTTGAATCATCATCAATATTATAAATAATATCATAAAGAATTTGACTTATCTGTCCATAAATAACTTCTTTTTTATGTAGACGTTCGATAAAATTTTCAATTGTATGTAAATTAGTTAAATTTTGTTCTTTGTCTTTCATATTAATAAATAAATTTAATATATTTTTATATTCAATTTTTAATTTATTCTTAAAATAACCTTCTAATTCTAATACAGCGTCTGCTTCATCTGAATCTTCGCCACAATATGTCTACAAAAACAAAAAAAGAAATGATAGTGTTATTTTTGTTCTTGTTTCTATTTTTGTTAAAATTCTTTTTTTTTTGGAAATTTCTACTTACAACAGCATTTTTAAATAATAATAATAAATCTTGTTCAAAGATATGAAATGATAAATATTCTCCATTATCTAATTTATTTCTTATCATTATTAAATCGATTGGTTTTGTTATTATTTCATAATATGCTGGAAATAAACGTTTTGATGGACATTTTTTTAATACAATCGATGGTGTTATATCTTTATTGATACATTTATAAGTTGATATTAATTCAAATATTTCATTTAAAATAAGTGTTAATTGTGCTAATTGTGCATAATAACATGTATTATCAATAAGTTCATAATAATGTCGACCAGTTTTTGCAAAATGTGAACGACGAATATGATTATAAAATAGATAAAACATGTCTAAACATATAAGATTTTATTTTACTATGGACAGAAAATTCATATTTTATAATTTATTCGATGTTATGAGTTTGTTTTCTAATTAGATATGTAACTATGATTTTACAGATCACGCATTTCTTCCTTTTTTTTTTATTATTTGAATCATAAGACATCGTTTTCGTAAAGACGATTGTATAATTCACAAGACTAATGTTTAAACATTTATGGATCTTAGCAACAATGGTTAAAGTTGAATTCATACTTAAAAATCGAACCAATTAAAGGCTGATTTTTTTTTCACAAATAAGGTTTTTCAATGATTATATTTATCTGTCTTTAGTATTGATCGATATCAGCAAACATTGGATAGAAACAGTTTTATTAATGTTTAGTTTTTATTCTACTTTAAACAAAAGAAGCAAGATTTTATAACTCATGATTCTATTTAAAGAGATTATAGAGTTTAGAAGGCTTGTTGTTATTTCCTAAGGATTTTATGAATCGCCTGCAGGTATGCAGCAAAAGAAAAATATGAGGCAAGACGTGATACAAGAAAAATCTTTTAAAAAGTGAAATGGCACATATACAATTTTTTTTAAGCAGAGGGCATCAACCCTTATGTATGCCAAGGTTGTCGACCTAGACATGCTCCAAAACATAATAACAAATTTTTATACTTGAAATTTATATCATTGTTTGCGAATGATATTAATAAACTGTATAGAAGAAATAAGACAACCAAACAAAGAATAAACCAATTAGTTTAATAACAGGATTGACAGAAAACTAAACAACAATCCAAACTCATTATGTTTGAGCTTTTTTTTATTCATTCTAATGTTGTCGAAATTTTTCTTTTGATACTCTTTAGTATCGTTTTTCTACTTAAATTTTCTATCGATAGAAGAATATTATATTACGTAATTTAGTAGATAAGAACATTTTTCTTTATTTAGGTCAAAATGATCTAGACAGTTCGGGTATACATTTACGTCTACCATAGGACTCACCTAATCTTGACCTAGCTTTTTTCTTTCATAGACTGTAAATGTTATAAATCAAGTTTTCTCGAGTTCTGCCATCTTCGTAAGACACCGCTAATTTTTCATATCTAATGAAACTATTCAGACTTTAATTACTATATTGTTAATAGATCAGAATGTATTTCGGTCTAAAAATATATGAAACTAATCTAGAGTAATAAATTCAATGATTAAGATATGAAAGTAATTTAATTATTGAATACTTTTGCTTTTTTTATTTACCTTTATGAGCTAGTTTAGGATTTTTTCTTAAACTAGCTAATGTTGATTTATTATTTAATGGATTTGAATGATAATAATTCTGTGCAAAAAAGAGTGATGTTGTAGATTGTTTATCACTTTGTTGTTTTAATTTATTATTATTTTTTTCTCTTCCCTTCATAGTTTGATAAAAATTGTCGAGTTACATGAAAAGAAACAAAGCAATTTAAAATTTAAATTACTAAAATTATAATAATTTTTTGCAAAAAACACTTATCTTATATATTGTTTATCACTTTATTGTTTTAATTTATTATCAATTTTTTTCCTTAATTCTTGTTTTTCTTTAATTCGTTTTAAACTCCGTAAAAGAAAAATAGATGAGTGTAAAATCATTCGCTTTTCACGTTGGGTTAATTTTTGTATGGTTGTTACTGATGTATTATTTGTTGTTGTTGTTAATGTTGGTTGTTGTTTTGTACCAATTGTACCTCGACATTTTGAACTTTCACAATAACATGGTTGTTGAGCTTGTAAATTAAAACATTGAAAATTATAATCATATGTTAATTCTTCACCTGCTTTTATTGGACGTAATGAAAACATACACATACGTTGTAAACCATCAACAGTCCATTTTTGAAATTCACAATTCGGTGAACATGAATGATTAGCAAAACGTGCTATACTACCCATACGATAAGCATCAATAACTAAATTTTGTGTTAATTTCATCGTATAATGATGTTCATCTTTTGAATATAAATTTGCCATACGTTCATGAAATTTTTCTTCAGTTATTATTTCACCAACATATTCACATACAAATGTACCTTTTGCTATTGGAGCGGTTGTACGTAAACCTTGTCCGTATTTACTTGTATCGAATACTTCAAGATGTTTAAACCATTGACTTTTACGAATTTTTTGATTACTACATTTAACACCTGAATAAAAACAAAACAAATTTTAAATTTATAAAATTAATTTCATATTTTGTAAAATTTTTCTGTTTTTTTTTTGTATTTGTATAAACATTTATCAGAAAAGAGACACATTCTACTGATACTGATTATTTAAGGATTAGATTAAAAGAATAAAACCATATAAATATATTCGAGTCAAATTTTAAAGGTTTCATTGATAAACAAATAAATTTAAAATATGTACTGCTTATGACACGTACAGATTGAGATATTTGAATTTACAATGCATGCTATGTATCAACAATTCAACATTTCAGCAGAGTTTATTATTTTTTTCTCTTCCCTTCATAGTTTGATAAAAATTGTCGAGTTACATGAAAAGAAACAAAGCAATTTAAAATTTAAATTACTAATTATTCCTTCTGATCTATTTCTAGATTATTATTAAATTGTATCTTGCTTATTGATATAAAGTCTAACCTCTTGTCGCTTCATTCAAACACTCGAATTTTTAAAATATTTGATTTCATTCATTAATAAAGAAATGTATTATTTCTAAAAAGATAATGAATTAAAAAAACAAACATACTACAAGCACAATCTGGAAGACATTCTGTAAATATCATTCGATTAAGACAAACACCATCTTCACATATTCCAGGTGGTTTACAATCGCAAACAGGTGCTTTTTCTATACTATATGATGATAAAAGATTTTGTCGTAATTGATCTATATAAACATTGCGTAAGATTTTTTTATAAGGTAATGGTTGTTTTTGTTTTGGTTTATTAGATTTTTTCTTTGTATGTTGAAACGTTGATGTTGATGAAGATGCTAAAGAAGGAGTAGGAGGATTAATTATTGTTGTTTCTTTTGCTTGTTGTTGACCAAACCAATAAATGTCATAGGGAAGATGATAATTAATATATGATGATTTATCATCATCAGATTCAAATATTCCCATATAAAATGGTGGTAATGAACCTGATGATTGTCGTCGTCGATTTTCAAGACGATTTTTATTACTACAAAAAAAAAACATAAAGAGATGTTTATTCTTTTTTTTTTCTGTATTTTGATTAAAGAAAAATAATATATGAACCTAGAAGGCTTGGAATTAGTATTTGTTGTTGTTGTTTTATAATAATTTGAACGAAGACCATTTTTAATAAAACACTGTTTTGGCAATTCAGAAGGTAACAAATCTTCATCACTAAAAATACACAATATATATTTCTTTATATATTAAATCTATATTAATTTTATTTATAATACAAGACAACAGTCATTTGAGAAAACATTTTTCGAAAGTATATTAATCATGATGATTAAAATCAATTTTTTAATGATTTTTTACTTTTCAAACACATAGATAGGTATAAATGATAAAATGTCATATTTTTTTCTTTACAATAATTACGCACATCTAAAGGCAGCTACTGAAAACTAATTAAGGAATCAATTATTCGGTTATATAATTAACCTATGTCTTAGTTTTGTTATACTGATAAGTTTACTAAGCACCACTGAATTAATTTATTTTATTTATAACAAACTAAAATGGGTTCAAGAGTACATAATTTTCTAAGAAATTAAGAGAATTTTTTATCTATCTTTTTTTAATCGATTTTTTTAATATTTGTCCTCATTGATCATTCATAAATTTAATACTTCTTTAACTCCTCTTATTCGATATGTGTACATTTTGCAGTCATTTATTTATTATTAAAGATGAACGCTTAATTATAGTTATAAACGAATTATTAGAACAAAACAAATTGAATTTCTTCTTGTTTTTTTTTTTAATTTTCTTTCAACCATAGTTGTTACTAAAGGTTTCACTTTTCTTTACAAATTGCCTGTTATCTACATCATTAAATAATAAATTTGATGCACATATGGTTCTATTGATTTTTCTAATATAATACTTTCTAGTAGTCATTGAAATATTATATTAAAACATATAAAGGATGTTTTTTCTTCCTACAAATTTTCTGTTACTTTATAGAAATGAATATATCGACAAATAAAATCAAGAAATAATAACTTTCTAAAAAAAAAAAACGCAAAAACAAAATTGATTTTAATAGAATACCTTTCCGAATCAGAAATATTTTCAATTTGATTAATTATTTCTGGTGATGGTGATGATACAATTCTTTTCTTTTTTCGTTCTGTAATATTTGGAGTTGTTGTAATTGATGATTTACGTTTTCGATTTGTTGTATGTAAATTTTTTTCTTTTTCACTTAATGGCGGTGATAGTAAAGGAATTTTAGCTGGTGTTAAAATAACAACTGATTTTCTTATTATCCATGGTGATAATTCATCAATATTTTCATTCGTATGACATTGATTCTGTTTTGGTATTAAAGATTTATCATCGATTTTTGCTTTTTTAAGTTTTTGTTCATTTGTTGTTGGTGTTACTATAGGTGATTGTTGAATTACATTTGAATCACGTCTTGTTGTTGATGGTGGAGATTTAAGTGTAATGGTTATGGAATCATCAAGTAAATTTGGTGATTCAGGCATTTCTTTAATATCTATAATGTCATTATGTGTAGTTATTAATTGTTGTGTATTTGGAAATTTTGATTTTGTACCAAATTGATAACCATATTCAATAGCTTTATAAAAATGTGGATAATAAGTACGTGCAAGAATATCTTTCATACGTTCAAAAGTTTGAATTGGTGATTTTGTTGTTATTGATGATGATGATGATGATGATGATGAAGTATCTGATTGTATTAATTGTGTTTTAGGAGTTAATTGTAAAATATGAAAGAAATTCTTTGGTGTATGTCGATGTGTTGCTGATGAATTTCTTCGATTAACATTCCAATCCGTTTTAAATGATATTGATGTTGGTGAACTTATCACAGATAATGGTTGTTGTTTATAATTATCATTTTTATTTGAAGACTTTTCTGATGAAAATTTTTTTCGAAATGTTTTTACATAATATAATTTTAAAATTTTATTCCATACATTATAATGTTTTTTATATATATATTGTCTTGTTGCTGATGATGATCTTTCATCAATATATAAACATGTATTAAAATGCATTGATAATGTATCTATATCAGAATAATTTAAAAAACGAATATCACGTATTTCATGTTGGCAATGACCAGGTAATGATTGAAGATCAGTAGCTAATGGAATAATAGAATCTTTTACAGATGGAATTGATAATGTATCAAAAGATTTTGTTTTATGTTTACGTATATCAATAAGTGGCATATCATCATCATCAGATATATCTTCAGTTATTGGTGTTGATATTTCAATAGCTTTTGGTATTGATAGTGTTTGTTTGGATTTATTTGATTTACGAATAATAATCTTTTTTGAACGTGTTACAGAACACTTGGAATCTAAATGAAATTTTTTTTTTTCTATAATTTAAAGGAAAAATTTTATATTCTATTTTGAAAGACTTCCCTAGAAAATAGGAGATTTCTTCTCATTAATGAAGTGTTTGATTAACTTTTGTTTTTATTATGACTTGATATAGATGGAAAGAAATTCTGTATTGTATGCTAATGTTTATTCCAGAGTTCAATAGGCAGAATGTTTTTCTTTTTGAATAACTTTCAAATTCTGAAACATCTATCGACATAGCATTTATTAGATTTGAATATATTTTCCCACTACTAGTTGTACATTAATACTTTTTTTTTTTGTTGTTACTTATTTTCGTGATAAGCTGATGCAAAATTACATGAAAAGACTATTCTGAATAACTCTCTATGCATGGTCAAAGTTTTACATTTTGAAAAAGTTATTCAAATAATTATTATGATTTTTTGAAACCTGAAATTGTAATTATTTCAATCGTTTAAAAGTGTAAAGAAACTTCAACTAATTATTCAATTTACTATTTTTTGTTTTGTTTTTAATGAAATATTTATTTTCAAACCTGTTGATGTTGGTGATGATGCTGCAGTAGTTGTTGATGATTCGATTTCAATTAAAGGTATACTTTCTCTTATTAATCGTGATGTTGATTCAAATTCTATAGAAGGTACATCTTCTATNCCTGCTTGCTTCAATTCAATGCTACAGCCGAAAAACTACAGACTTAGCGAAATATCTCATTACGAAAATGTTAGTGGAGTTTTCTCAAGACGTCTGTTTCTACATTAAAACACAAATTTAACAAAAACTTTTTTATACGAAATATATTGCTTGGAGTTCTAAAAGCGTCTCTTAAATCTACGTCACACATTTACTTAATCTAGAAAGGTGAAATAATGCGTTTTAATTGTCACCAAAAAAATGCAATCACACGAAAATAATGAATACTTCATAGTTTATCCAGTAAAATGTACGTCACATCTCATTTAGTAAGTAGTCAGTTGACAACTTACTATCAGGAGTGAATGTAGAATTTTTACAATACATGTTAGCAAAAATATTAACTATTCATTAGTCAAATATTTGTTACTTGATCTATTTCATTAAAACCATTTTCAACGATGAATATAATTAATATAATTAATTTAAATATTCAGTTCAATTGGCGTATGTATATCGATTCTTCCACAATATTTTGGTCTTATTGCAAACATTTGGATTATTATTCGACGGTCATTTATTGAAAAGTACATTGATAAGGTATTTTTTCTAATTACAATGATGGTTAATTTGAATGCACTTCTCTTTGGTTTATGATTACTTCGTTTTGTTCATGATTTTAATGTTGATATTATTTTTAATAACTAAGGATTTTGTTGGTTTTTCTTATTACGCTTGACAATACTTCTATATGATATGCACTGTTGCATCCATTATTTGCAGAAGCGTACACTGTTGGTCTAATCGAAAACAGGAAAAGAAGAAACCTTCATTCAATACAAATTTTGGTACTTGATTGTAGTAGTGACAGGAAGAATGGTAAAAAACATTATCGAATGAATTCAACAGTCTCGTCTTTTTTTTGTTCATTCCAATCGTTCAACAATGTCGATAGACAGATAACGAAACAAGAACAAATATTATTGCTTATTTGGTTCTTCATGAGGTTTATCTTGTCCTTTCAATCAAATATAAATTTTCTTGTTGAATGAACTTTTTTTTCTTTTCTATTGTCAATTAGATCAGTAGTGTATATAATACAGAAGTGACACATTTATATTATTCTGTAATTTTCACAGTATGATTTACTATTTTGAATAGTATTGATTGCATAAGGTAAATGAATATTACACTCCACTTTCTTTTCTGCATGATTTCTTCCTTCATGTTGATCTTAACAATATGTATTTCACTTTCTCTTGTGTTATATGACAACAATACAAAAGTGGAGTCCTAATGATATAGACACGGCTTCAATATGAAGTAGTTCAATAAACATCGTTACTAAGGGTAACCCTATAGTAACTCTTCCACTTCGTCACATTGATTGTTATTGTATTAGTTATCGCGAACGTCATCATTACCGATGAAGCTAATTAAGGGTATGAATGTGAGTCCTCTTTTTACCCGCATCCACACTCGTACTTATAGTCCTCTACCTTTTTCATAAGACTTATCAGACACGTTTACAATTTGATCCAATGACAATAGATACAAGAAATACGAGAGAGTGAACGGAAAGTTTCTAGACAAAATATATGACTATTTTTTGCGTATAGAAATACATTGGAAAAGAGTAAGAAGTTGTGTATTAGAATTAGAATTTTATGCTCTCTCTCGCAGTACATACTTCGAATTTTAAAAAGACTCAAAAAACTTTTTACGGAAAGAAATTTCAAATAGAACTTGTTTGAGACATGTCATTAAATTTTATCGAATATATTGGAAGATGTAGAGAAAAATTCTCTACAAATGGTTGAGGTACAGTAAAGTCTTTTATAAAGTCAATCGCAAGAAGAACGACTACTTTTTTTTATTTTCGTCTTTCCAACGTAAAATGATTGTCCGTCACAACTCTGTCAATTTTTAGTGGATTAGTCAAAACTTTCTAGTTTTCTGCCATTCTATAGGATAACGATCATCTTAAAGTACTATATATATTTACAGAACTCTTTTTATGTCTAAAAGAAGCAGATTTGTCTAAAACAAACTTTTGTCTCAGCAGAAAATATTTTTCAATGCTGTCAAGATTTTCTTATAGCTCAATAATTAAAAGTCATAGAAATATCCTAAGTATATAGTCTGAAAGAGCACAATATTCAGATTCTCATATACTACCTCTCACTCTTTTCCAATACTTATAAATATGCAAAAAATAGTCAAAAAACTTCATTCAACATTTACATATGATATACCAAATGTTAAAATTATTGCATTTACCTGTAATGGTTATATTTGGATGTTGTGAGAAAAATCGGGTGTGCATGTGTTCACAATTCATTTTATTTTAAGCGAGAACAGCAACAAAAACAACAACCAAAGATGGTTGAAGTAGTATAACATACGTGATCACACAATATATTACAAAAAAAGATCATAGAAAAAAAAAAAGCAGAAGAAATTGGTACCACCACACAATGAATCTTTTGTAGGAAAAAGAAAAGAAGAAAAGCATACGTACATTTATAAAGAGAAATATAACTAATAAACAAATATTGTAATATAATTAATTAAAAAATTATTTATCTTCTTGTTTTTCTTTTCGAATGTTTTTGATTTGAATCATTATCTTGAAGTCTTTAAAAGAAAAAAAAAATAAACTAATTAAAAAAAAAACATAACACTCTTCTTATTTAGTTTACTTTCTGGAATTTGATTGTTTATCTTCGTAAGTTTCATCTTCAGAAGAAGATGATGAAGCTGATTTTTGTTCTGATGTCGAAGCAATTGCATCAGAACCTGAGCGCGATCTTTAAAACAGAAAGTAATATAATCATTCAAGAAACAAAACAAAGGAAATAAACAAGGGTACTTACCGTTTTTTAGTCCGATTTGATGATGGTGGTGTTTGTGGACCACGCTCACGTTGTTCTTCAGAAGAAGATGACGATGATGATGAAGTTCGTCGTTTACGTTTTCTTTCACGACTAGATCGAGTTTTTCGTGATGTTGAATTTCTAAAAAAAATATCGAACATCATCATTCATTTTATTTTCTGGTATATGTTATTCACGAGAAAAAAACGCACACACACCACACACACATATATATATATTTATATAGTAGATCGGTCAAAACCAACCTTTATATATCATCCATTATTTTTTATCGAAGAACTGTTTTCTGTTTCGAAAGAGAAAGAAATTTAGTCGATCGTCGAAATTAGATTTTTCTTCAACGAGAGACGAAACGATGATAATATAATGGTCATGAGAAAAGAAGTTACATAGTGCAATTAGCAGTACGATGTGTAAATCGATCGTGATTATTATTGATGACAAAAAAGAGAGAGGCAACAATAGACGAACTTCGTACCTGCGTCCACTACGACTACGACTTCGTCGTGTTCGTCTATGAGACGTTACTGGTGGATAACGATGAGAACCAGATGATGAATACATATTTCGATAAGCATGCGATGACGATGATGATGATGGTGGTGGTGGCGGTGGCGGTGGTGATGATGATGTTGGAGGAAGAAAAGTTGGTGGTGGTAATCGTTGCATTAAATATGGATCTCCGTATGCTCGATAATAAGCTGAATCTGTATAAACAGTTGAATGCTGAGGATAATATGGTGGATAGAAATCTTGTGTTCGTAAATGATTCATCGATGATAAACGAGCATTTTGTTTATATGAAGGTGGTGTTAATGAACGACCACGAGACATAGTTGAATTAGGCACTATTGTAGATGGATGATATTGATAGTAGCTTTGACGTATAGCTTGCATGGGTGGTAAACGATTTGCAGTTACCTTTTATTTTTCAAAACAAAAATAAAAAAAGAATTTATTATTCAATTGTGAAATTTTTATTTTTTGTTTATTATCAAACCTGTAAATGATTATACAAAAGTGATGCTGGTGAACGTTCGCGCGATAATGGACGTCGATTATCGCGAGATATTTTATCCGATTTAGCATATTCAACACGAAGTCTTGAACCATTCACTGTTTTATTATTTGTATGTCGCAATGCACGTTGTGCATCATTTGATGATGTAAATTCCACAAAAGCAAAACGTTTATTATCATCAATATAAATTGTTGCAATTTCACCATATTTACTGAATAAACGATTTAAATCCGATTTACGATTATTACCAATATCACCAACAAATAACTTCGATGGTCCATTTGACGAACGCATCTAAAAAGTTTCTTTTTTCGAAAATAATAATAATAATAGCAACAAGAAAATTTACATACAACTGTTATTGATCAACAGACAGAAATCTCAACAGCGATAGTAGCGCTTTTTAATGAATATATCAATGGAGGTCGAAATCTATTCGAGACATTTATCGAATCATAATGGCGACATGAAATTACCATTTCATATGGATTATTGTTTATTATTCACTTCTTTTCTTTTCTGAACTGTGTAGTACATTTGAATTTTTTTTGTTTTTGATTATTTTAGATAATGGCACCGCCAAAAAAAGTTGCAGGAGTATGTTAAAAATTAAATCGTTTATTTTAAGAATCTAGTTTGATTTTTCTTTATAGAAAAAACAAGCTGAGACAATTAATCAACGTCTCCAACTTGTTATGAAATCTGGTAAATATGTACTTGGTTATCGTCAAACATTGAAAGCATTACGAAATGGACAAGCTAAACTAATTCTTGTTTCAGCTAATACACCACAAATTAGGTTGGATTTATCTTCTACTGTTTAAATAAATATTTTTTCTTTTTTTTTTTTTTGTAATAGAAAAAGTGAAATTGAATATTATGCTATGTTAGCTAAAACTGGTGTACATCATTATAGCGGCAATAATATTGAATTAGGTACAGCTTGTGGCAAATATTTTCGTGTTGGTATTCTTGCTATAACTGATCCAGGTGATTCAGATATTATTAGAACTGTACCAGGCGAACAATCAACTGCTATTGCAACATCATAAGCATTAAAAGAAAGAAATTTTCGAACTGCTGTTTCGCTTGTTTTTGTTAACAAGAAAAAAACGATAATAACAAGAAAAAAATCATTAATAAACAAAAAAGAAAAAAAAAACACTTTTTTTTTGTATTCTATTAGTCGATTTGATTTCGTTGAATTTGTTCTAAGATAGGAAAAAAGAAAGAACTTGATGAGATAAAACGCAAAACAATTCATTTACCTTTTTCTAGTTCGAATAGACATAATTCCACTAAAGAGATATTGAAAAATTTTACAAGTCAAAATTTATTTTTACTTACATTCTGCTATTCGTAAACGTTCATCTTTATTTGGCTGGAGAATCTTCTTACTTTGTTCTAATGCTAAAAATATATTTATAGTTTCAATTTTAAGAACTATGTATATCTATAAAATAGTAGAGTAGTAAATAGAAGAATATTAATAGTTTACAAGGAGAATTCTCCCATTTATAAATTTCTTTTCAGTCAAAACTGTACATTATGTTGATCGAAATGAGCTATGAATAGCCTGAGAAAATTTTGTGTCTCTAGCTTATTGCTACTAAGATATTTCACTTTTACAGTAGTTTTTAAATGAACACTGTGGTCCTGCTCATGGAACACTAGACAGATTGGTTTTCGAATTTCAACTTCAAACTTTGCATAGAGAAAGGTCTTAACGAGAATAGGTTTTTATGAATCCTTCAAATCTTGTTGCTGCTCCTATCCTAAGATACAGTTACAGTAAAAGAAGGGCGTCTGTTACATTGCTCATATTATAAGAGTAGATTTGATGCTGTTAATTCAGGACACTGGCACATCAAAAGACGTGACACTTTCACAATGAACTACCCTCGTTAAGATCTGTCCTCTATACAAAGTGTCAAGTTGAAATTCATATATTTGTCTTTCTTTTACTACGGTATTAGTCTAAAGAACACCGTGAAAGTACAATGTCTTAGTAGCAATAAGTTAAGGACTTAAACTCTTTTCAGAATATTCATAGCCTATTAGAATCCACATTATGCACATAGCCTCGACTCAAAAGCGATGGATCACTTGGAGGACTCTGTTCATTAGAAGAAGAAAAAAACGATATTCACTCTGAATAATATTCTTTGATCATATAATGCACTTCGTTCTACTCTAGAGGAAATCTTATCCATTTCTAATGTTTACTTGAGATTCAGTTTATAAACAATGTTTCTTCATGATGATAGTGAGTTGTTGTTCTATTCCTAGATGATTATTTTTGTTCACTATGGAAATATTTTTATCTTCTAAATAAAACTTAACAGCAAAGTGAAATTTAATTTGACAGAATAGAGAAGTGTACACCTGAACTTTCCTTTTTTATGTTTATTTTTGACATGTTCGACATTTTAGCAACGGAATGGATGAAAAGATCTACATATTTATTCTTTGAGAACTTTGACTAACGTGGATATCTTTTGAATCTTTAGCACTATGTCTTGCAACCGACACAAGGATAAGTATGCCTCTTTTTCTTTAATAAAATGTTTGTCAAAATTCATTCAATTTGAAATTAATGCCAATTTTTCAATATGCATATTTAGTACTAACCTTTAGACTTCGAATTGATCTCTATAAATAAACCAAATAATAAATCTATATTGAAAATATTATTTGTAATGCTTACGTGTTTGTAATTGTGTTTTACTAAGTTCTTTAGCTTTTTTACATATATGTTCATATCGTCGAGCCACTATTCATAATATTTATTACATGCACTTGTTGTCAATATACTTACATTGTTTATGAATTTGAGTTTTACATGATGGTGTTATTGGTTCAAATGCTAAGGATAAAACAAGATTAACAAAATTATGACAAAAATAAAATTAATATACTATTCATAAGATTTGATAATAGTGGATGATTCCATGAAAGAATTTTTTCTATTAAATTACAAAAGATATACTTATAAAAAGAAAAGTCAAATAAAAAAAGGAACCTGTTTTTTCGCTAAATTGAGTTGTTGTTGAGAGAAGTACAGTTGATTGACTGATGGCAGATGGTCGAACTTTAAAATTTAATTTTTCTCTCTAATTAAATTATTTAATATTTATTTACTTACCTGTATGAAAAGTTGACACAGATGGTGAAATCGATGTTTCAGATATAATAGGATTTTTTACTACAGGCACAATTGTATTACACGAGAGTAAAGCAGGAGGAATCGGTAGTAATTGTTCATTTCCTAATTGATCGTTTTTATTCAAAGGAAAACATTTTGATGATAATTCGTTAAGTGCTATGATAAATCATAATAAAACTTAATATTCGAAAAAAGAAATCAGTTTTTTTACCATTATTATATTCGTAAACGTTAAGTTCAACTAAAACAATACCAAGATGATATTGTTTTTGTTTTAAATAAAACAAGAATAATTCTTACGTTCAGCCATTGCTATTCGTTCATCTTTAGTTAATGAGTGAATAGATGTTTGACGTTTTTTAATCAATGCTATTTTGTTGAATAGAATTTAAATTAAATAATCTATGAGTTTTAAAAAGAATTTTTACCATCACGTTTATATTTTAATTTTATTTCAATATCATTCGACGACATTGTTTTTAATGTTTGACGAATATGTGTTAATCTACGATTTAGTTGTTTGAATAATTGAAGACGTGGAACATCTTCAAGATTATAATCTATGCAAAAAAGAATAAATCTTTCAAAATAGAAATAAATTTCTCATACATTCATAGAATTGATTAATTAACGGATGTTCAAATGTAACTGATGAATCAATATGAGAATTATCTTTTGTTATTTTATTCGTTGATTGTTCGAATTGAATAGGTGAAGCTTGAATATTTCTTTAATTTTAAATTAAAAAAGAAAAAAAAAATCTACTAGTCATCTCTTCGAAATTCAATTGATTATTTAAAACAATCGATGCTGATGGAGCACTTGGAATAGGAAGAAGTCCTTTTAATAATATTTTTCTTTTTTAAAAATAATATCAAAATAACTTTTACGTTCAAGTGTAGCATCTATCGATATACCACGATGAATTTCTAAATTAAAAAAAAAACAGATAGATACTTAATTATTTAGCATAATCATACTAGGACGATTGATAAGTTCTGCATGAGCAGATTGAGTCAATGATACTGTTTTATTTAGATTTGAATTCCATAAATTTGTTTCTACTATATGTTAAGTAAAAAAGAATATAACAAAATAAAATGTTTCTGTCGTACGATTTTCTTTGGATTCACTTTTTTGATACATAAGATCTTGTAGAATAAAAATATAATTTTAAGTTTATAAATAATATTTACTTACTTGAATGACTGTGCTTATTTTCTACTTGTAATGGTAAAGTTTCAGCAATATATTCAAGATTATCCACTAAATATTCAATAACTTAGTAGGCAATTTGTTAAAATTTTTATATCCCTCAAAAATTGATCTTGGGCCATATACATTCAAATCGTATGAAATTTTCAGAATATGTCGGAGTTTTAGTGAAGAAGCTATGGTAAAATTTTCAGCCATATACGATGATGTTTTCGTGAAATATTCAACAAACAAGGGCCAAAAATAATTCAGTTGGCAATCCGAAATTCCCTGTAGGCCTTCATTCTATATATTTAATTTTCTTTTTGTTTTAAAGAGCATGTGAAGATGCAGGGCATGACAAAGCCTTTTTTAGATTCCTACTTTTTAAGGGAAGAAAAGTTCAATATCGCAAAAAATGGTGCCCTAGCTATAAAAGTACTCTTTTACATAATAGTAGCAAAGCTTAGTTCAAAAAAGAAACTCTATCATGACTTACCATGTTGGCATATTCGTTCAAACAAAATCAAAAGAAACTGGCTACAATGGGAAAAAACGAACAAAATTTCTTGGTATTTCTGAAAATAGCACAGTTTTCAAATAGGTAATGATAGAAATCATCAAAAAGTTTTCAGAAAAAATGAGGTGCCAAATAAAACGTCGTGTCATTGATGAAAGATCGAATATTGAGTTATCTTCTCATGCATTTATCTTAATTTCGATAGTTCTGACGAAAATTGACTTCTTTTGAGAGCAGAAGTCTTAAGAAATAAATCGCATACTTGCAAATAGTTTATAAGAATTTGATGGTACTAAATAAAAAACAAAAATTTTTGCAGTTTATACTTCTTTATTGAAAGTCTTATTACCAAATGGCGAAGTGTCTTGATTGAATTCTAGGAAAAAATTTTCTTATATAAATATTAAAGAACTTGTTAAATAGATTTCTTTACCTGATTTATGTAAATGATCATCGAGTGTTAATGAGTCTATGATAATACTTTTTTCCTTTAGTCTCGAGAAATTTCACGAAACGACACTTACCATTTAGTTTAATGATTTTAGTTGATGTTGATGACAATGCTGCATTCATTGTTTGTTGTCGACGTGAATTATTACTATTAGATTTAATGTCTTAATCGAAAGAAATTTTTTTAAAGATCTAATATAAATAGGAAAACTGCTTTGACATACTATGCAAATTATTATATGATGATTTATCTGTTATGGAATCATCTAAGATACAAGAATAGATTGTTTTATTTCATTGCATGTTAAGCAAAAACTACCTTCTTTATGTTTTCTTTTTGGTGAAGATTGTAAATGAGAGCCTATGATTATGATTTCATAATATAAACAAAAGGTCTTTTAATTGAATAATAACCTGATCGACTTTGACGAACAGATGTTTCTCCACTTCCTAAATTATCTTTTGAATAAAAAAACAGAATAACTTTATTTCGATAGATTCTTACCTAGTTGTTGTTCGAGTGCTTGTGAATAAACAATACGATACCAAAGATCTCGAGGCATAGGTAACTTATTTTCGGGACAATTTATTGGACCACATAATCGTGAACAAGGAAATGTTCTATAAAAACATTTTTGGGAATCATATTTTTGAATATGAAACTCACGATGGATAACAAGGATAACCAGTAGTAGATGAGATATTATTATGATGAAAAGGCTGACTAGTTTTCTTTACCATTTTTGTTTTTGTTTTAATTTTCGGAGAAATAGGATTTAATTTTGACTGTTTTATTTCTAAATAATAAATAATATTCATTGCTTGTAGTTTTAAAACTTAATAAATCTCACTTGTAACTTTTATTTGTGTTTTTTTTAATTTTTGATACTAAACAAATGATCGAATATGTAAAGATAGGTCAATAGATTTAAAATAAACTATGACCTTGTTGTTTTTGTGATTTTGGTTTTGATTTTATTGTAGATTTTGATAATGATTCATCACTGTCAACTGTTACAAATTTCGATAAGTGAAAATAACTAATAGAATGAAAATATACACACTAAATTTCTGAATTAGATTAGAACATTGATCAAGTAGTTCTACACAATAATAAAAAGACAGAAAACTTTTTCTATGACTTTTATCCTTTGATTCTAACCTTTATCTACATTATTTGGTAGTGTATGAATGCCATCTGACCAATTTATATGACGTATTTGTTCTAATGATGTTTTGAGGTCTATAAAATCACTTTAGTATCAAATTTTTAATTAATCAATAATACAAAATACCATCTGATCGTTTTTTATTTCCCATAGAAGATTTAATACTATCGTATTATGAGCAAATAATGACAGTTCGTATATGTAAACGAAAAAAATATTGCACTAATTGAAAAACAAGAATAAATTTCTTTGTTGTTATAGGCGCGTGGAAATGATTACTTATTAATAATCAAGTTTAATATCATTACTCATTTTTTGATATTTACTATAGAAACTAATTTTATTTAATCATTCAACTGATGTTTTATTGCTACTAACTGATGAAGAGGTAGAGCTGCAATAAAAATCGATTTTCTAAAATTGTCTATCGAATACTAAATTTAGAATTTACCATAAAATCGAATACAACGTCGTCTCTAACATTTATCAACTAACGGTTTTCTTTATTCTTTGTAAATTTGAAATATTTTGCAAACATACGCATTTGTCATTCATTGCTTCGTTTTTTTTAAAACAATCTCTTCAATCCATTCAACTATACATCATTTAGATAGACAGTTTGTACAGGACAAAGCATATGTAGCTATACGATAAAAATATTGAATATCTTCATTTTGTATCAATCAAATAAGCTGATTGTTCTATCGATGATAGAGGATCATTCAAAGTTTTTTTTCATTAGAGAAACATGAACAAACACTGCTTTGAGCTATTACTATTGGCTTCTATGAGGATGTGTGACCTGATTCGTGTTCCACAAGAAATTATGTACATGCATGACAGTTTAAAATCATAGGATATTATTATTTTACTCAACACAAATTAACCAGAAGCACTTCTCCATAATTAAGGAAAAATTAGTCTATTTCGGTAGAACATGGTGAATTTGTAAGGATTTTCTTTTTATAAGTAACTTTACGGACTTACAGTGTACAAGATAGTTCCTCAAAGCCTGAACAAGATGAAACTTTCTTATTCAAACCAATAATAATAGCTCGCAGCAATTTTTATTCATGCTCTGTCATGCAAAACAAAAAAAATTTTAAATGGTCTTCTACGATCAATATAAAAATTAGCCCATTTTATTGACAGTAAATGAAGATGTTAGATTTTTTTTATCGTATAGCTACTTATGGCCCATGTTGTATTGTATCTCTTTTTATCTGAATAATCGTTGTTTTCTTTTGTTACCAAAACAAAAGAAATACTATATTGATGGATGCTTTCATAGATTTGTAAGGGCAACGACACATTTACCTACTAGGTTTATCTAATATTCGCTCGTTCTCTTTCTTGTGTCATTTTGCGACTAGCAACGTCATAGTATCAAAGAGAAAAACTAACCAAACAATTTGTCTTTTCTTTTCATTGATATTATTTGTCGAACATTTAGACATTTGATTAGAAGTTTAAAAAAAAAAGAGACGAACATGCTCATATATGTTATTTGATTCGATAAGAGAAGAACAACTTAATCTTTTAATAGATTTCATTCAATGCATTCAATATAAATATTCTTCGAGTATTAGACTTAAAACGTGCATATTTTTGTCCATGTAGCATGCCCCCGCTTTCCTCTTTTCGTCTGAGTAATACTCCCATCATGAAAAAGAAAAAGAAAGTTTTTACGTGCATGCATGTCTACAGGTGATTCTACCTATATTGAATCACTCACTCTATCTATGTCTTATTGTTCTATGATGTTTTCTTTCATTTTAAAACGAACATGTATAATATAAGTCAGCACTTGTCAAATCCTTGATGCTTAAAAATATATATATATATGTGTAAAATATGCCTGTATCAAAATCTAAAAGCCAACATCATTATAAATTATTTGCTCGCAATTCACTTCTTATTCATTTGAAATCGTATGATTCTTTTTCTCTTCTTTTAAATTATTTTTATTATTGATTCTTTAATTTTCTTATTAGTAAACGTTATTCAAGATATCGTTTATATTCGTCAGAAGGAAAATTCAAAAAAATCTCTCGTACTCGACATTTTATTAATAATTTTTATCAAACATATCGTTCATTATGTTTATTTGTAACAGTTATTTTTCGTCTTTGTATTTTTATTGATAAAATAACAAGAGAATTATTTACATTTATTGAAAAACTTATTCAAATTATAAGAGTTATTTATGGATGGATACAAATGATAAGATCAATATTGTCTGCTGTTCATCTTATCATTAGTCGTATTATGATATTATCATACTGTATTCATCAAATATGTCATTCTCTTACAATTTTATTTCAACCACTTTCAAATAGAACATTCGAAAAAGCTGTTAGATCTTTTTCCCATTTTGTATTTTATTACTATTCATCAAATGGTGCTTGTTATACGCTACAAGCTCGAACACGCCATATTGTAGGTCGAGTACGAGCACGATGGAAAAAAAAACGTAATTATGTAAATGATGATGACGAAGAAGAAGAAGATGATGATGATGATGATGCTAATGACATTTATTATGATGCTTACAGTGAAGAATGTTAATGTTGTTAGGAAATTTGTTTGTCATCGTGTTTTGTACACATTAATCAATGTGAAACTTCTACGAGCATTTATGTCATTTTTTTGTTATTTTTAATGATGAAAAATAGATATCAGCAATCTATAAATTTATCTTTGTTTTTGAGTACATTTAGAAAAAAAAAGGTATTAATATAATAGATCACGTGAACAAGAAAAAAATGTATACCGACAATAATTGAGTAAGTATTGTTTTTTTTCTTATGTCTGAATTTCGGTGATGATTTGTCAAAGAGAAGGTCGTACGATATTGTATGACGGATAAAAACACAAAAAAATCTTTAATATACAATAATTTGAATCAAATAAATTTGTTGTTCAATGTTTCAATTGATATTCATTACATGATTTAAAACCATTGAGTGTCATGTCTTATGAGTAAATGAATAGAAAATTATCAACGTATGGTTCGATTTTTATGGTGTATTCATTAGAATAAGTATATATTTGAGCAAGGTCATGCTTTTTCCTATTATTTTTAACTCGTGATACAAGTAATTATACAATATTAGAACTATTGATCTATTCAAATGGGTAAATATTTAAATGATTTTTTTCTTATAATTATTCATTGATTGATTCGATATATGATAATTAATATATGAATAATAGTTATAGTTGTTTTATATGTTGTTCTCCTTCGAGTACACCTTGTAGAGTACTTTTTCTAATGAAAAACATGACTTTGCCCTATAGTAAATTTTTTTCAATGTATTCAAGACAATTTTTTTATAGTTATTTTCGAAATATTTCTTTTGTTGTGTCTAGACAAAAGAAGTTGAATCGAGTCACGTATGATAATTATCGAATCTCAAGGCAAATTGATTCATTTGATCATCAAAATTTTTTTGTTGAACTAAGATTAAGTTACTTTTGTAAAATATGTCAAGAATTTAATCTTGTTAATCCATGTCACTACAAAATATAAAATAAAATTGCAAAACTTCAAGGACAAAATATTCCATCTCAAAATATTAAGATGCCACTTTAGCGAATGAGAAAAGGTAAGGCATTCACTGTGCTAATTACATATAGTTGAATAACTAAATAAAACATAACAACGTCAATTTTTCTCATTTATTTTGCAAAGTTTCATAATACGGTTCTATGATATTCTAATAAAACTTAGAGTAATTACATAGCAATTGACGAAAGGCTTTTGTAACTCACGAACAGAGTATATTCTAGTAAGAGGAACTTAGAAAACCTTGATCTGATATAATTAAAGTTTATCAACATGTGTCTGAATTTGAACATTTCAAGCTTTCATATTAAATCCAATTCACAATCGATTAATTTTGATACACTTTACTTAGAGATCTTCTAAAAATGTAATTTTTAATCTTACATTATCTATATAATAATATTGTTTGAATTGAGTTCTGTAGTTGATTATTTGTCTTTTTTATATACTTCGTTGCCAATATGATGATCAATAAATAAGTTTCAAGTTGAATATTTTACACAACTTTTGATTCATTCTTGTTTGTTGGAAAATACATAAGAGCTTTAGATGCATTGATTGAGATTTTTGTATTTAAAATAAATCTTTGTGTATAGATATTTTTTTTCTAACAATCTAATATTTTCGTGGGCTGACATTTTCTTAGATCAATAATAAAATAAAATTCATTTGTATAAATATTTCATCAAAATTTAAAATAAATTCAGACAGTTAAATAATAAAAATAATTGCTAAAGCATAATATAGTTTATTACTTAATGGACGTGTACAGGTTTTCATGAGATGATTACTTTTCATCAATATCGCACACAATAAATATTGACAAAAGTCTTTCGTTCTGATAACATTATTCACTGCATCATAAATTAAAAAAGTCTATCATTTAGCTTGCAAATATCAAGGCAATTTTGCATATGTTCTTCAAAAACATATCTATGTTTGAGCATTGAGTAATAAAAAGAACAACATTCTCTTTTCACTTCTCATTTCAACTAATAACAGACAAATATAAATCTCTACTTTCAGTCAATGTCTCAAACATGTACTATAACTTCATGCAATCGTCTAGCACGTGCTTTATGTCATTGTTGTCAAAAGAATGTCTGCATAATTCATTTAAATGAACATAATGATGTACTTATGAATCAGTTATATCCTCTTATTGATAATATTAATATAATAGATAATCGTCTTCAAACAATAAATATTAAACAAATTGCTAATGATTATCGTGAAAAACTTGAACAATGGCGTTTAGATTCACATAAAAAAATTGATGAATTTGTCAAAGTAAAATGTCAAGAACTTGATCAACTTATTGTCGATAAAATTGATGAACAAAAAGAAGAAATTCATCAATTACAATCAAAAATGACTGAACTTGTTCATGAACAACAAGTAACTCATCAAGATATCTATGAATTAATATCAATAGGTGAACATCTCGAACAAGAGATAAATAGTATCGAACAAAAATATGTTCAAATATTTACTCGTCCATTAATATTAGATCATAATTTAATTAGTATTAAAGGAAATAATGAAGAAGAATATGATTTATCAATTCTTTCACCTGTTTATAAAATTATCAATCGTCCAGGTGGAAGTTATGGAGCATTGGCTAGTAATGATCGAAATTTATTGATACATCAAGCACCAAATTTATGTTTAGTTGATCAAGATTTAGATATATTTAAACGAGTTCTATGGTGTCATGGAAGAATTTATGATATGTGTTGGTCAGTAACATTAGATCGATTTATTATTCTTGATGAGAAAAATCTTTTTTTTGTTGATGCAAATACACTGTCAATTGAAAAAGTACAAACAATTGAAAAGCGAAAATGGTTATCATGTACATGTTCTGATGAATTTCTTTTTTTATCAACCAATGAATGGGGATCATCTATAACAAAAATTAATTTTACTTCATTGAAAAAACTTGATAAACAATGGCAATCACCTACTATATGTAGAAAAGATGAATATATTGATATTATTACTAGTAATAAAAGAAAACTTGCTATTTTAATTCGAAACAATACAAATAAAACAATACGATTAGAATTAAGATCTTCAGATACATTAGATTGTATTTGGTCAATTTTACTTGATGTTCCATGGAATGCTAACAAACCATTTCATTGTTGTCCATTCATTAATGAAGATTGGCTTATAGCTAATCATGAGACTGGATGTTTATTGCATATCACTAAAACAGGAAGAATCAAGTCTATTGTACCGTATAATACTATACCCTATTGTGTTACTATGTTTGGTACGAATACATTAGCTGTATCGACAAAAGATGGCATTCATTTTCATAATGTAAATTATAAAAAAACATACACTATTTTTGTTCTTTGATTTTAATGGTAATATTTTGTATGAACTTTTTTTTTTATGATAGAAAAAGATTTAAAATAATATTTTCATCAGTTTATCAAGCAAATAATTTTACATTAGAAGAAAATTTGAGAACTTGATATTCACTAAAAAAAAACTTGTTAGTGCGATGCTTATATACTTAAAATATGAAACACAATGTAACTTCTGTTGCTTATCACAGGAGATAGCTTTGCTCGGTCTATTTTAGCACAAATTTCTTCATTATTCTTTTACTTAATCCTCCAAAAATGTAATAAGAAAGTAGCTCATAGATTATAATGAGACATTATTCATACACGATCCTTGATCATATATCAACAACATCTATCACGACCTGTAACGGAGACGAAGATGTTGTTAAGACGTCTGTCACAGTGTGTGGTGGGGGGGGGGGGGGGGGCGAGGGGGTTGCAAATTTGTATCTCTGTACTTCAACACTCGTTTTATCTCATGTTTCACAAAATAATCATATTAAGTAATCAGTTTGCAGTAAAAAAGAATCTCGCATAATCCAATAAAACTTTTAGAATTATATATGAATCAATAATGGCGTTTTCCTTTTTTTACCATATAATCAAATAAAAAACAATATAATGTGTCATCAAGTGCATTCGGCTTTAGCTTCTATAATATCAATCATCAACTGATCAAAAAAAAAATAGATCATTGATATAAATAGAATAGTTGAATCATATATTCGAAAACAATTTTTCATTGTAATAATTTGGAAAAAAAACTCTCGAAATTATTGTAATTAAAATTTTTTAATATCATTCTTTGCATAAGAAAGTAAATTTTGCTTAGACAAATATTATTTAACTTATGCAAAATGGCAACAAATTTTTATTCTGCTTTTTATTCATATAAAACTTGGAAAGAAAGCAAAGAACTTTGGCTCTTATCATAACAGTAAGGAAAGAACTATATAGTATTTATTCTTATGCATATAGATAACAAAGTTTCTTTTTTATCATAAACCACAGCTGACAGTTTGACATGAATTTTGATCAACATCAGACGTTTTTCTTATGTGCCATCTCAAAATGTAATAATAAATCATGTGTTTTGTGCCATTGTTGTCAACAAAATTATTGTCTTCAACACTTAATTGAACACAATGATGCAAGCTATCATAAATTAAATTCTCTGACTGATGAAATCAATAAACTTGATCATCAAATTAAAACATTAAATATTCAGCTGTTAGTTGAAAATTGTCATCAAAAATTGAAACATTGGCGTATGGAATCTCATCGTAAAATCGATCAATTTTTTCAACGAAAATTTCATGAACTTCATCGATTTATAGATGAAAAATTCGATCATCAACGAGTAGAAATACATCATTTACAATCGAAAATGACTGAACTTAGTCGTAAACAAGAAATAAATGATGAAGAATTCTATTCCTTAAGACCGATTATCGATAATCTTCGAATAGAAATAAACAATTTCAAACAAATATACAATCAGATGAATACTCATCCACTACGAATAGATGACAATTTAATTGATATCGACAATCCAAATGTGTATAAATTTAATCTGTCGAGTCTATCGACTATTTATAAAACAATGAATCATCCTCATGGAAGTTATGGAACATTAACTAGCAATGATAAATTCATATTGATATATATAGCACCGAACTTAATTTTGATTGATAAACAATTAAATATAGTTAAACAAATTCTATGGCCTTATCAAACAATATCGAATATGTGTTGGTCATCAACATTAGATCGATTTCTTATAATCGAAAAAAGTAAAATCTATCTTGTCGATGATCAGATAATGTCTATTAAAAATTTACGAATGACTGAAAAACGAATATGGTTCTCCTGTACATGTTCTGATACATCTCTTTTTTTATCGCTAGATGAGATAAGTTCATCAATCATAGAATTTAATCTTTTACCTTCGATCAAATTAGTCAACGAATGGAAATCTCCGTATACATGTAAAAATGATGAATACATCGATAATATTGTTTATAATAACTCCAAACTTGCTTTGATGATTACGAATAGATTTGAGAAGTCTGCACGCATGGAATTAAGATCATCTAAGACACTTGAACGTATCTGGTCACTTCAACTTGATACTGTATGTTATCAAAACAAAGTATTTCGTTGTTGTTCAATCAATTTTAATGAATGGTTAGTAGCTGATTATCAAAACAGACGTTTATTACATATTACGAAAGATGGAAATTTGAAGACAATAATTATATACGATTCGATTCCTTGTCATGTTGNCTTAATTTGCAAAGAATAATATTAGTATTGGATGGATCAATTTTCCAACCACTTGAAAGAAGACGTGTTAATGTTGCAACATATAAGACAAAGATATTATTGATAGATGATGCCAAAAAATAAAGTGAACATGGATTATTACGTAGTGATCGACGAGTAAATATAAGAATATTTAAGATATTTCCAAATGTACCAAGAGTAATTTGAAATATTGGTACAATGCGATTGAGTTGAAGAGAAATAATAGGTAATTTTTGAATAATATCATCACTCATTTTTTGTTGTAATTGTGATGTGAAAAGTAAACGATATATGAAAAAATTTTCAAAATCTAAAAATATTCATTGTAAGTGTTTCAATATCAATAGACTTATTTATTTGTATATGGAATATGAACAGAAAGATTATACTTGAGAAAAATCCTATAACAGGATATTCTAACGAAAGTATGTTTCAGATCATTTCAGAATGCTAGAAATAATATTTTTTACCATAGGAAATCATCTTTTGAATTTATAGACTTGTTAATTTTACTGTAATTGGAATCATCTTTGTAAAATATTAGTGTAAAAGGAGTGTTGAAATATAGAGGCAGAACTTTGGACTACCTCCTCACATAAACGTGACAGACGACTTCACATCAATCTCCTTTTCCGCATCACAGCCTATTACAGACGCCTTAACAACACTCCTGTTCCCGAGTCACAAATATGCTTCCGGAATTTCTTTTTAGAGAAAAAATCCAAATTTGCTTGATTTGAAATCTATCAATAGGAACAACGAATAATAGATCTATTTTTATATTCCTTTGAGTCATTTCTCTTTAAAATGCATTATCTTATGTCGAATGAATCATCTCTCCATAAATGGGAACAGTTTCCCGATTGACCGGTTCTAGTATCCATCGTTGCGGGTTCGTTCATCGATTATATTTAATATAATGAAAATTTCTCAACTCGTTTCAGAACTATAGTAGTCGACAAAAATCTCTGGTTCAACCGATTTCGGCCACTCTATCCGCTAAAGCTCTGACAATTTCTCGACGCGCACTTCACCAAGAATATAGATCACTACCATCGTGACACCTTTACTTCTTAATTAGAAAGGAAGTTATGATGAATGGCACTTATCTTTGTCATTAACTGGATAACTCTAGAAAGGAAGAGTATTCTCTGTCAGATGACTCCTCAATTTGTAATGCTATACCTACCTATCTGCATTACTAATTTCTTTGAAGTTTATCAATTCTTTCAAAAACTCTACTCATTTTACTGTGATCTTTGTTCTAGTGAAAAACTATCTACTATCATTTCGAGGTCAATAATTCATGAATAGTTTAATTAAACGAGTTTATAGTTATTAAGGCCCTTCCATTCCTCAAAAACCAATCTCAGCCCAGGAACGTCCAAATGGCCTGAATTTTCAGCTCTAAATCGTGATTTTTAAGAGAGATATTGACCAAACAAGGGTGAAAAATATGTCGTTTGAGAACCCAAATATCTTTGTCTAGGCTAATTCTACATATTTAATATTTGTTTTTGTTTGAAAGAGCATGTCAAGATGTAGGGCATGACGAGGTCCTTTTTGTTAAATACTCACTTTTTCAGAGCAAAAAAGGATCAAAAATTCAATGGCTGAAAAAACCTCTAAAAACTGACGCCAATTTATATAAATGTCTATATACATAATAACAAACAGCCTAGATAAAAAGAACGAGCCTCTAGGTATTATTATCTATAGATTTCAGAAGCCAATCTTGCACTAAAAAGAAATGAAGCATAGATGATAATCTTGTTAGTTCCAACGATCCAGAAACATCAATATTCGAGCAACTGAAAATACCATTTGGATGAAGAAAGACTGTACACACGACCTTCAACTATGTGTAAAAATATCAAGAATTCGTTATATTTTTACTATGAAATAGTGCAACATTTTCTAAGCAATCTTTCTTATGTTATAATGCTCCAAAAAATAAAGTAGGTGCGGTCAATCATAATTGTTTTTGTCATTAAGGAATAATTCCACCGTAACATCAATGATCTACACTCTTCATGAACTATGTGTGCACAAATTTTCAAACCTCCAACACATAGAGTGACCAAAATTGGCTGAGCCGAAAACTACAGTGCACTACTGTAGATCTTCTTTGATTGATTATTTTTTCTTTTGTAATACTGTCGTCAAACTAATTAAACAACACAAACTCTGCAAATCTTCTTTGCCTATCATAAAACAATACACTGTTACGAATTACTTACTTCAAACCCAATAAACACTCTCAAATAGTTGGCATAGTTGACTATGAAAGTAGGAAAATGATGAGTAAAAATTTTTTGAAAAAATCGAACCAAATCTAAAAGAAAGAATAGAACGCAACCATCATTTAAATATTACCAACATGATATTTAAGAACAAGAAAAAGAAAGATCTTCTATTTTTCTAATGAAGAAAATAATAAAAACTCAGATTCTCGTATTTGTAATAAATCACGGAACGCGATAATGTTTCCCTATGGTAGTATTATATCCTTATCATATTAAATATCATTATCTGGAAGGCTTCGTTTTTGTAGTTGCTCTCCAGATCGACGACATCCTATAAACTAATTTGTCTAATTGGCAATGCACATAAAAAAGTATGGAATGCCGCGATGTCACTGGTCTAGGAAAGTACTGTTTTTTTTTTGCACTTTTTACACATCTCGATTTCTCTCTTTTATTTCTCCATGTTAATTGTGCATGTTTCTTTAAGAAGAAATTGACACCTTTTCCTGATATTTTTGACTTCGACTCATTATTTTGTACATAATTAGAATATCCGCTGAGCTCATTTCTTCACATTTATCTTATTACACAGTTTGGCAACACAAAATAAAACTTTTTTCCAGGCTAAAAAATGAGAAGATCGATAAGATAAAAGATGCTGTGTTTTTATAACAAGCAGGAAAAATAACAAGAGCAAAGCCGGAAGATAACCATCGTTTTTCTTGTTTTCTTTCATACAATTAACATCTTATTGACAGATATTTTTAGGAATAAGTCCCTTGCATATTTTCTTATCAATAAATTAATTAGAATATTTATTTCACTATCACAACATGACAGAAAATTAAGTGTAGATTAGAAAGTAAACATTTGCGATCATATGGAAAGAACAGAAATACTGTGTCTTTTTTATAAAATTTAAAATTTGCAGGATTAATAGACATAACTCCTATTGTACATAACACAATTACAATACATATTGGGAAAATAAACGTAAAATGAAGCATTTACTTAATAAGTAATGACTACAAAACACTAACGACACATTTCATTCTTTTTTTATTCGATATCAATTCGTATGAACGCTCTGTAGTTTTTTCAAGATGTACTAACAAAGAACTTTACTTTTACGTTGCCATTGTTTTACCATGCGTCATTCTACCAACTTCTCCTCATCTTTCCGTTGACATAAATTTTTCCAAACTTAATTTTGTCAAAATAAATTTCATTCCTTCCAAAGTCATACATTTCATTTCATTGCGAAATGTTCGACTTGATAATGTATATATATAAAATCCAACAACTGGATTGAAATAATTTATTAAACGACCAATATTACTATAAAATGTATTGATTGCATCACCATAATCAGATAATGTTATTAAATATTGAAATATCATTGATGTTATATTAACAACTGAAAATGGAAGTGTACAAAGAATTGTAACAAGTATTTGAATAAGAAGCATTATAATCAATTGACGATCTTTTGAACGTATACGTTCATTTCTAGTATCATTATTTAATGGAGTAACTTGTGTTCGAAGTTTTCTAACATTAAATATTGTTAATATACCAAATAAAGTCATTAGAACTGGTGGTAAAGCACATGTTAAAATAAGAAAAAATACTTGAAATGTTATTTCATAATCGTATATAAATATATTGCAATATGTTTTTGAACCAATATAATCTACTGACCACCAAATAAATGTATGAAAATGTGCTAAAGCTATAATTAATATAATTAATCCAATAGCTTTTCGAGCTATTGGTACATTACTCATTTGACGATATCGAGCATTTTGACAACTTGAAAGATATCGATCAATACTTGCAAGAACCATAAACCATTGAATAAGTGCAAGTGATGAATAAACAAAAAATATTCTTAATTTGCAAAGAATAATATTAGTATTGGATGGATCAATTTTCCAACCACTTGAAAGAAGACGTGTTAATGTTGCAACATATAAGACAAAGATATTATTGATAGATGATGCCAAAAAATAAAGTGAACATGGATTATTACGTAGTGATCGACGAGTAAATATAAGAATATTTAAGATATTTCCAAATGTACCAAGAGTAATTTGAAATATTGGTACAATACAATTGAGTTGAAGAGAAATAATAGGTAACCTTTGGATAATATCATGTTCTGTACTCGTTGACATGATTTTAATCTGTGAGAACAAAAAATAAGAAACTTGTATGGGTTTATGTGTAGGTTGCGAATGCTTTATTAAATAAAATTTGGATACTTGTTTGTTATCGCTCCGCCAAAACTTTTTAATTTTTAAAAGATTTTGATTCTCAGACGAAACAAGATCATAACATATAAAAACAGAACAACAATATTATAAAGTGTATGATAGAGTTGATAATCAGATAAAAAGCTGAAAGATAAGATAGTATTAAAAAATTTTCGCGGGGCGATAACAAATAAGTACGAAAATTTGTCCTGTTATATATGATTCTCACTTCTATAATGTACTAACATTGCACACTGTAATTAACATTACAAAAATAATAAGTTTGCTATACACAATGATTGAACTAATTAATAATGTATCACAGCAGGAAAATTGGGCTAAAGTGAGATATGGTTTGTTCAGCATTGAAAAAATTTATAAAGAGATAATATGTAATAATTGAAGAAATATATGAAGGCAGATATAAAAATCATGTCAAAGAGATCTTCATCTTTTTTTATATAAATAACTTGAACAGTATGATGCACTTTAAAAGACCTGTAATTAAGTTTTCAAATTTTGATGTATGGATTGATTTACATTTATTGCTCCGATTTCGATTCTTAATTACATGAAATCAAGTGTTCTATTGAAATGAACTTCTTCACGTTTCTTCGACAAACTAGTGAAATTTCGCATTGGGACCTCATTGAAAACAGATGACGTGGTGCTGTGGGTTTGCACTTGTTTTCGAGCACATTTTATTGATATTATCAATCATGATAAAGCATTTGTCAATAAAGCATAATTTAATTCACATAAAATCATATGCGTTGAACGGATAATATTTTCAAATTACATTGAGAACACTATTCTGGAATGAAACATTATTCGATATCTTCTTTCAGGACATTTGATTTCATCTGAAAACCTTCGGCTCTAATCAACTGGTTTTTTTCGGTGATGCGAAAAGAACTTGTGTTCATGTCAAAGGATGTATTTGAGTCTTGGTTTATAGTAGCTCAGGCTCAAACTAAAGCTTTTGCACATCGTTTAATAAATATGGAATATTATTAGTTAATATAATTACATTCTTTAACCCTCTTCCGTTAAATGTCTGGTCTCAATACGAAATATTCAAGTAGTTAATATCTAATTAAAAATTATAAATAGCTTTCAGAGATGAACTTGATGGACTAATTTCAATATATAAGCATGAACTCTACTGTATACATTTGTAGCACTGAGTGGAGTAATGCAAATTTAGGTAAGAAGTACTCGAAATAAAACCATTACAATCATTGATGAGTTTTTGAACGTGAAGATTTATTTCTTCAACAATCATGTTGCCGTATAACTTGTGTTGAAAATTTTTCAAAAATTCAAAATTGTTTTTTCAATGAAAATTAATTACACATTAGTGACAAACAAGTAAAACACAATATAATATATTAAAGAAGATATTTTACATCATCATATAATCAGATTATTGCATTTATCAATAATCATAACATATGGACCAATATTTCATAGTCTTGCTTCTATAGCTAGCAGAAATATCGATGAATTATCTGATGGAATCGACTATTAGACAATTCTATAAATAAACCTGACGTAAATCTTATCATCAACATTCGTTCAGATTACCGATAAAAAATCAAAATTATGTGTTCAAACTTCAACAGACTGCGCCCTCTTTTACACATTTATTTTATTTGACTCTTGCATATCACTTATCTTCAGCGCAAACAATCAATGTCATGATATTTGACGTCAAAGCAGAATCAAAACTAACATGTGAGATTATCAGTTTTCTTATCACTGACGTAAAACAATATGCTAGTTCGAAAGTACCCATGAACTAAGTCAATATCACCACTCTCTTTCGATTTTACATGCCAACATTTTCCTCTTCCTCATATACGCCGAGAATCTTTTCTACACAAATATACTTATAATTAAATTTCTAGGTGAAAATATGTCATCATCTTTTCTCATATCACCTTCGCCACCAACAGGAAACAATCGTCGTATTAAACTACCTGGTCTCGATCTATTGATCATGACACGTATCGATAATGTCTTTGTCTATCCATCTGAAATCAATATTGATCAATTTAAAGAAGCACTTAGTCGAACTCTTTCTTTATGGCCACTTGTGGCTGGTCGTATTCTGTTGGAAAATGATCAACATTATATTATTGAAATGTGTGATAATTCTATTCCAATAATATTCGTTGTTAATAATGACTTGAAAGAATGGCCTTTGGATTCTAATGTTGTAGTAGACTTAAATGAGAAACAATTACCAACATTTATTGATGAAGTTCAAGTAACAAAATTTTTTAATAATTCATCGGATGAACCATTTGTTCGATTCAAATTAACTCATATTGTACAAAGTGGTGAATGGGTCTTAGGAATTAGTTGGTATCATCCATTAGGTGATGCAGCTTCATGCTTGCATTTTTCTAATACATTATCACGATTTTATCAACAAATGGAACCAACAAAACCGTTACCTATATTTGAACGACGTTTATGGAGAGAAGATGAAGCTGATGAATCAGTTTTACCTATGATGAAACACTTACGAGACGCTAAACCTGCTGAAGAAGTATTAAAAACATTTTNTTATATCATTGAAATGTGTGATAATCCTATTCCAATAACATTCGTTGTTAATAATAATTTGAAAGAATGGCCTCTGGATTCTAGTGTTATAGCAGAAGTAAATGACAAACTACTACAAACATTTATTGATGAAGTTCAAGTAACAAAATTTTTTAATAATCCATCTGATGAACCACTTGTTCGATTCAAATTAACTCATATTGTACAAAGTGGTGAATGGGTCTTAGGTATTAGTTGGTATCATCCATTAGGTGATGCAGCTTCATGTTTGCATTTTTCTAATACATTATCACGATTTTATCAACAAATGGAACCAACAAAACCATTACCTATATTTGAACGACGTTTATGGAGAGAAGATGAAGCTGATGAATCAATGTTACCTTCGATGAAACAATTACGTGACGCTAAACCTGTAGAAGAAGTCATGAAAATCTTTTTAGCTGATCAACCAAATTATGATCAAGTAAATCTTCATTTTTCTGGTGAACAACTTGCTACATTACGAAAATTAGCCGGTGGAAATAATGTAACAATACAAGATGCACTTACAGCTTATATTATTTTGACACTTAATACATATTTTTATGATAACAATGATGAACGTCGTATTTTACGTACAAATACAGTTATTAATTTTCGTGGTGTGTCTGATTCGATCGCTCCACAAGGTCAAGTTGCTAATACTGTATTCATGATGTTATCCGATAATTTTGAAGATCCATATTCATTATTAAATATTGCCAAGACAATACGTCGATCGATTATTCAATCACGCGATTCGAAAATTCTTGAACCTCGGTTGGCTACTTTTGATTCATTAATGAGAAATAATGTCAGAAATAATAGATTGCCAGATTTAGAACGTTTTTCAAATGAAGTTGTTGTTAATTCAAATTACAGATATGATTGGGCAAACTCAGTTGACTTTGGTTATACTGATAAATGTCGATTTTATAAAGCTGTTGCAGATGCATTATATTTACGTGTGTTTCATCTTAATCCAGAAAAAGATGGAAACAAATGGTTACCAAGAGATCGAGATGGAGCTGAAGTATCATTTCAAATTGGAAATGGTTTGAAACAAAAATTCATTGATGTATGGAAACGAGACATTAATGAAAATTTTAAAAACGTAAAGAAATAGAAGTTTATTTTGATTTTCAATAAAAAAAAACGGTTTTATTTATGCAGCATTTGGGTATAGATTAACAAAAGGAATAAGGTGATTTGAATTTCTGACAACGATGTAAAATTTATGTTGAGGTTGGCACACATGAAGCGAATAGTTCAGAGCTGGACAACTCAATCCAGAACAATGATCAGCTCATTGAAGAAAAACTTCAATTCAATTCATGTATCTTCAAAAATTTCTCAATGCAATTCTGTGCAATTCATACTTATTGACAATTTTCTTCAAACTCAATTCATGTCTCCTGAAAAGTTTTTTAATCTAACCGAATCCAATTCAATGTTTTCGAACAGTTTTCCTGAACTTAGTTCAATTCGAACCATCAATCATGAAATTTTTTTCTCTTCACTTTACTTCAATTCCAATAGTGAGTGAAATGAACTGAATTCAACTGAACTGAATCACATCAGGAAATTCTAGTTAATGCATTTGTTCCTGTTTTCCTTTATTGAAGGAGTTAGAAAGAGTTTTATTGATGTTGATTACATTAAAAACATTGTTCCTTTCACGTCAGGATATGTAAATTTTATGTACTCATCAAGAAATGAAAAGAAAATAGCAATAAATTAGTGCGGATGAAACAGAAATATATATCAAAATGCGAGTATGATGAAGATACCTCGAGATAAAAATTTTGAAGAGAACTTAGAAGACTTATCATAGTCATAAGTTGACTTTTCATTAGTTTTATCATGTAAATTGATCTTACAACAAGTTTCAGAAATGTCTTTCAGTTGAATTGAATTCACAGATCTTGAAAAAAAAATTTCAATTCAAATCAAATAAAATCACTCACTCCTTGATTAAGATTTATTTTTCGATTCAATTCATACATATTTGTAAGTTTCGTTCACTTCAATTCAAAACAATTCGTAGCTCTTTGCAAAATATTTATATTCAATTCAATTCAACTTACGAACCCTGAAAAATTTTTGGCAACTCAATCCAAGTAGGTTCATGAATTGAATTGCGTTGTCAACTCACATAACTAGATTCTTGCCTTTATTCCAATATTTGCAACTTGGATTTAGATTATTAAACAATTGATTATTTTTATTCTTGTTATGAATTGTTTCATTATGTGTATTAAACAGCTACTAATAAATGTTTTTACTGATAGAAAAAGGCAACGATTCAAATCATCGGGTTTTTGTTAATTAGAAAAAGCATACAGTTTGATTACACTATTTCGGAAACTCATTGTTAGTTCTGTATTTCTATGGCACTTCGGATGCTAACTATCTAGATATGATTAGATAATGTGCCAATAACTTTATGTAACCATATAGTTATCCTTTTATTCAAAATATATCTAGGTCAACGTTTTGTTATCGATAGAAAAGCGGTCGAAATGAAAATTTACTTTCTAATTGTTTTGATATGACTTTTCGATTAATATTCTGGGTAACTTTGACCAACTTGAGTACTGAAACTTTTTGTTTGCATGCACGTGAATGGGTCATCCATTACTTTATCGACGGATGTGTTTCTAGTTAAACTTATCTCTTATCTTTATTCTAAACTTTTCGATTTTCTGAGAATTTTCAATTCGATTATTTTTCAATTTCAGTTCATCTTTTTCTCAGCGAGAACTTCTTTTTGTTTAAACATCTATATATTAGTTTATTTATATATACGTGAATAATGCGTTGATTTCCTTATTGATTCATGTAATTTCAGGAGACTTAACATCATTTGTTTCAGTTAAATTTCTATAAGAAATACAAGAAATGTTATTATCCATAAACGAAATTATAGTTTAGATTCAGTCAGAAAATTCAATTTTCTGCTACAGTTCAAATCAGGTTGAGTTAATTTTTGCTACCTGTCTAAATATTATGAATCTCTTTCATCTGCAACAATTGTTGGAATGAACAATTTCGTATTGGTAAAATATGAAAGTGTAAAAAGCTACATTTCATTGATTGTCAAAGTCTAACTAATTTTTGTTCAAGTTTCATTCTGATATTGGAAATAGAATCGAATGAGAAACACAGCTGATTACAAGTTAAAAGAATCTGAAATCTAGAATGCTACCGTCAATAAATATGAAGGATTGAGTAGAGATTTATAATATTGTTTTTTTTAGATTTATCAATCACGCTTGCATGGCTGATGAACTTGATAAAAGCAGTCAATAATTAATACGATCAACATCTTCTTTAAACACATTCATTAATGTTTGATAAGGAGGAAGCAAACACTTTGTGAAAGAAAAATCATTTTTTTCGGAACGATACTTTTTGCTCGTGCTCTATTGACCTAGTGATGCGCTCTCATTTCAGCTAGAAACCTGGAATTATTATGGAATACAAAACTTTTTTATAAAAAGTTATTCTTTTAAATGGTAGTAATCTACCTGTGGTTTATTCATAAAACTAATTCAAATTTTTCGAACGAAAGTTAAACCGACAAAGGAACATTGCCAGGTGTTGGTACACTTTTCAGTAAGGAGTTAGTGCATATTGTAGATCTTAGTGAATGATGTCTATCCTCGCAGAGGCTCGTGCTTACGGGGCTGTTTCTGAAAAGATTGAACGTTTTCAATGTGACAGCTATGATAAACATTTTATTAGAAAAAAAAACTATCTGAACCAGTGTAAATTGAAACGAGCTGAGATTTTTCTCATATATAGTTGTACTCATGTTAAAGATGTACTGAAAGTATGAGTTCAAACAATCTTGGAAAGACAGTTATCGGTTTTATTAAATGTTAACATTGTTCTAAATGTTATTAATTATACTATTTCTCAAAATTGCAAGGTATATAGTTGAAATTTTTAGAATATTGAGTGCTATATCGTAATATTATTTCAGATTCTTCATGGTTGTGATTTCTCACTCTACTTCATGTTTCTTTTTCTTTCATCTTGAGGTTGCACATGTCATATGATTTTATTTCGTTCATCCACGTTGGTTTGGTTCAGTTATTCTCATTCATACACGAAAGAAATCACTGTATTTAACTTACAATATAAGTGCCTTTGCAAACATCAGAATAGAAGAAAAAGTAAATGTTTAATCCTGACAAATTACAATCATGTAGCATCTGAAATAATATTACTCTAAAGCACTCAACATTCTAAAAGTTTCAACTATATATGATGACTACGTTACAGACAGCAGGCACAGGTGTATTTTCGTTTCTTTATCTTACCCTTTCAGTTTTGGAAATATACAATTGATCAAAATTCATTTATTAAATGTGTATTTAAAATATGTAAGCGTTTTTTGATGCACTCGATGGTGGCACAATATCCAATATTATTTACTACTGACTTTATAATGGGATAACATAAGTTGCGAACCATAAGATAAAATCATGCTGCTATTTTTAAGACTGCTACGAACAAACTGTAGCAATTATTCAATATATATTTCAAAGGCTAGTTCCATTAATTAGAAATGCTAAATCAATAAGACGATTGTCATTCATCGGTAGTCAAATGTAATAATTCATTAAGCTTCAAGTCAGAAATACTTTTTTTCATGAGTAATTGGTAGTGCCAACATTGTTCTAAGAGTTATTATCATTCAGATAGTATTTGAAAACACCCTGGACATGGATAGAATTCCATTTAAAAAGTTTAAGTGTGCTAGAAATGGTTCAGTTCTAAGTATTGCTTTGATAATAAAAAATAGTTTTACATTATCTTATACATCCGTTTATCTGATCAGAAAACTTTCTTTAAAATATTACCAAAACTTTTCCAGAGTGGTCGCAATTCACTTTTAGGTGGATTCAGCCTATCCCAGTTCACTCCTAGTGTCCCACGCATAGATAGAAATAGAAGAAAGTAAATGACACCAGAATGAACGAATGAGTAATCGATAACGAAAATTTCTTTATTCTCTTGTTATATATTATTTAAATCAAAATATGTTTCTCAAGATGATAAATAATCTTCATTTTTTTATCTTTTAGATACTTCAAAATGTTATCTATTTACATGGTTCAGTATTACAATCATACTTCTTCGAATGTGAAAAGAAGGAGACATAAGATCGTTTACAGACGTAAACATAGTCGTTGACGGAGTCCGTATATCAAGACTGTATATGATATCGAGAAATATAGTCATGATACTGGGCCGTGTACTACACCAAAATACAGTCGTATACGATGAAACATGGAGTGTATATGGATTTCGTATTGGTCATCCTGGAAGATAATTTGCTTCCAAGTATTGTTGTTTGTTTCTCTATCAGTATTCAAATTTTATTGATTGTATTTTTCATTTATTGTACGATCAAAGTAAAGATAAGATCTAATTTATTTCATTTTGTATGTGCTTGTTTTAGAGATTTTAAAGTGATAATGACGCATTTAAATGATACTCAACTAAGGCAATATTTTGATAAACATTAAACACAAATATTTACTTGAAGTATTTATGACAGAGGTACAGAATCTGCCGTGATTTTAAAAAATTTCCCCGCACGACAATGTCTTCCCCCAGCTATTTCTCCAAAACTCTCCTAGGAACCGAAAAATTTCCCCACACGGCCGTACGTGCACGCGGGTAGATTCTGCACCTCTGATTTATGAAAATGAACGATGACTCGCGAGCAATGAATTTTATGATGTTATCGTTAGGCACTCTTAAACTATAGCAGTCAATGTCAGAACGATTGTTTGTCCATTTGTACTATTTCGACGAGAGCAATTTATCACTCGCCTGTGGGTGAGGATGTGGATAAAAAGAGAATTCACATTGACATTCTCATGGAACTGATTGAAATGTCTTCAAGTCAATAAAATTTATTCAAAATTCACTCTTTTCACTTTTATTATTATTTTTTTATTTAATTGGTTCATTTTATAATAAATATATAATTTGAAGTATGATTCTATTTTCATCGAAGCATGTAAATGCTCGAATTGAAATTCTGAAAACTGCTGAATCGGGCTAGCATTCTAAAATCATTATAGCAAGCTTTCTAGTGCAAGCCCAACTCCATGATTTTCAGTCGTCTATTCGTAAATGAATCCACTTCGAATCTAAGTCTTCTGCCACCAGTGTTTACGCATTGATAGCGAACTAACGTTCTCAATCCGAAGGTAAAATATAGATCGGATGCGACTAGGACAGAATATTGCATTGGTTGATAACCTACCTATTTGGTGCGTAAAATAATCAACAATTCATTTTAATTTTCAAAACAGAAATTCTGCGAGTTTTGAGTCAATTATTGATACTTCAATTCACATACTGTATGTGGAAGAAGCGACGCGTATTCATGATTATTTCCTACTTGATTATGCCATGAACTATTTCAACTCGAGAAACTGAACTAGAAATAAAAAGATGACATGCAAGAGAAAAAAATCATGTAAAAATAATTTTATTTTTTCTCTTTGTCTTCATATATACACTAGGATAGTCGAACACCGATGTACAACTGTTCTCAGTCGCCAACAGTAGTTTGCTATTATTCGATATCTTGTTAAAACACATCAAAGAATTCCAGCAACAAATTTTTGGATGAAAATTTCATTTATTTCGTTCGGTATGCGATTTGCATTTTTCGCGATCCGTTTTTAACCATTTTCGAGGTCGAACTACCACCAACAACAACATACAGAAGTTAATCTTTTCCAAAGTATGCTGATAAAACGTTTTCTCAGTGTAGTTAATGTCATTAAATAAATGTAAAATCCACAGCTTGGCTCCAAATAAACAGTCATACGTATAATTAATTCAATCAACTTGGCTGTGTTTGACACTCTTGTTTCATATGTTTGTCTATTGATAGTAAGAAGTCGATAGAAACTGTAAGCAGCATAGGGAAATGACGTTAATACAGTCACAATTATTTCGGCAATAATCATCCATGTCAATTGTTTTTCAATTTGATATTGAGCTGATCGTCGACTATCAACACAATGATGACACATTTGAACGAATTGACGATTTTGATCATAACGACGATTATGAAAACAACGAATAATTGGTAATGTTCGAATATTTTTCAGCGTTAATATACCGAACAGAATCATCAATATTGGCAAAAGAAGGCAATGAATAAGAGTGACCCATACTGTCCAAAGAGTAAGGTTTCGAGCAACACAACCTTGTGAACGAGAAACAATAGTGTAATTGAAGACATGTTGAAGAGAAATAACGGCCCAAACAATACATGAGATCAAACTGAGCTTGAATGCATTTGAGAGATGACAAAAATAGTCGGCAATTCGACGGCAACAACTCTGTTGTTGATGCTTTTTTCGTCGCCAACTCCAACTTAATCGATTGATTGAAGCACATAACAGCATTTGAAATGTCAAACTAGCGCTTAGCATGTGAATATAAATGCGGAACTTACACACGATTATTTCGAAATCCGATACAGTATCGTATGATAACTTCGATTCAGTTTTCTCAATTTTTGACCATCCAACACCGGCATCAATCCAATCGGACGATAAAAAAACATTAGTAAGAAACCGATGAAGTGGCAAATTATTCAGAGTAGCAAAATTGCTGAATGTTGCAACAAGAATAAAGACACTGCATGTACAAGAACGAAGAGGTTTTTGAAGAAAAAAACCCACTTTGAGTAGATTACCAATATTCCCAAAAGTAACAAAAAAGAGATTCACATAGATATTGAAATAGCGAGTAATCGAATCGAGCTCATGACCATTATCAATTGAATTATTCATCGTTTGTTAGCGCACATTTAAAAAGATAAATAGATGCAATAAGTAAATTATGAATATTCTGGATTGAGATCAATGGAAAGTACAAGACTTCTGATAATTGTTTGTGTACGATAATTATCAATAGATGGTAGATGTTCACATTTTTTTTTGTTTTTCTTTCTCTAGTAGGTGCCGGAAAGTGAAAAATGTTGTGTCCTTATCTAATAGTTTACTCAATATATGTAGCAGCCATTATGAAAGAGAGAAAATGCGACAACACGGTCTTGCTTTGTAAGATTTTATAAGAGAGAAAAGTACGTGCCATTGACGCAGACGAGTAGCATGTTAGAATCGGCATTCTTTTTTTGTAACAATTAAGTCTGTCTTTCTTCTTTTTGGCGTGCGATTCTTTTTTTGAATTTATCCATAATGCCAGCCATGATCGAGACATGAAAGCTAAATTGTGATGAGATTGATGCCTTTCCTCATTCTCTCTGTCGATTATATAGAAGCGGAAGGGAAGGAAGAGTTCAAAGAGGAAATGATCGACAGACGAATACAAAGGCCAGGAAAGAGAAGAAGAATAAAACCAGAATGATGGTAGAAACGTGTCGATTCTTGCTCCAGATACGATAATGTCAACATGCGCCAACGCAATTTTCACTGCATTGCATATTTTTAATTGTACTATCTAGAAAGTTGAATCAGCAAAAGCTGAAACATTCTCAAATATTATTAATCGTCGAACAATTTTATAACTTTTCGAAAATCTTTGATTTTCCGTTAAGTAGAGTTTCAATTCAATTTTCTGAAAAAAAAACATTTTCAAGCGAATTGAAAAATCAACAAAAAATTTTTAAAGATTGTTGAAAATGAATTCCTATATGATAGAAAATCAATCTATGATTCTACAAAGAGGGAAAACACAACATTACGTTTTTGGAAAATCATTTAAACAATGACGACTATTAAGTCATGGTTTAGTCATATATAAGTTAGTCGATGGTATCAAGAATTCATTTTTCTTCGAGAGTTGTAGCGCGAGTAAAAGTTACATAAAGTGTAGTTGGCACAATAGTCCTTTGTATAATAACAAAAACCCATCAAGAATTTTTTTTTATTAATGTTTATGAGATAAAATAAATATAATTGTTTTTTTGAAATTATTTCTCGTATTTCTTTTTTCTTTGTTTTTGAGCTATACTTGTCCCTCATAAATCATTCTTTCGTTCAAAATTGATTGTTTGCTTTGAAACATTTTTCTTCTAACAAATGTGTTCATTTTATATAATTACACTTCCGCTAAAACTTCTGCTTATTTAATTTAGTATATAAGAGCAATTTCCTAGTAGCTATTATGTTGCTTTTGCGTGAAAATCAGAGCCTACTTTCAATATAGGTATACAAAAACCGGGTGTGAGATAATTATTTTCAGATATTTGATTGCGCATAAGAAAAGAGGGGTCAAGGTTAACATCAAGTTTATTGACACTAAAGAACCGAATTAACTATAACAAGATTGATGAAAAAAAACAAAGAAAATGAGGAACAACAACACTAAAAGGAAACGAACATATATATATTTATATATGAATGTAGTGACTTATTGGTATGCACCCTAAAAAAATAAGAAAACAATAACAGCACAAATTGTCAGTTCATCACAATTATGTTTTCTTTTTGATATTTTTACAATTATCATATCTCAGGTTATAATTAAGTTTTTTTCTTAACTGTGTACACGCTTTTAGTCTATAAGCAGAGTTAAGACTATAACCGAAATCAGTATAGAAATGAAAGAACAATTTATGGTAAAAATGAAACGGGTAAATACTCAGGTCATATCAAAAATAGTGGCGGACGTAGTTTAATTCCTTATAAAATGCTTAAAGAAACTTTATTCCTATATGAACTAATAGTAACAACGACGTTCTATTTTGTTAAGCTATGACATCATCCATCAATTAATATCATATTAATCAAATTTCGATAAGAGCTATTTGTCATAATATGTGACGATAACATCAGATCATATTTGTCTTCGATGTGTATTCTCTTCTTGATCTTCTCTTGATGCTTCTCCTCGCTTTTTCTCTTCTTCTTGCTTGTCTCTTTTGATTTCTAGCCGTCTATATACATGATGGTACGCAAAAAAATAGTAGCGACAGAATTAAAAGAAATACGGAAACAAGTTCATTAAGTTTTTATTTCATTAAATGTTCCAAATACTCAATATGATAATCCACACACAATTGCATTCGTTGAATCTATTTATCGAACTCTGATGATGATCAAATAAGTGTATGAAAAATAGACGAATAAAATAAATATAACTAAAAATATTGTTGCTTTTCGAACGCTATATAGATTCCAGCAAACAGTATGACAACTACGTAGAAAAATATTGATCAATACTTACTAGAAGCATAAACGAAAGAATAATAAAAATAGAAATGTATCAGAAAAATGTAATTGACAAATTATTTTGAATATATTTGATGGACTAAACTTCAATATCAAGTTGGAATTGATGATGAGAGCATATACAAAGAGAATTCTGAACTAATATCAGGTTTCATTGACATCATATACGGTTGAATGTGACATACACACAGCAATCCATTGTACCTCATTGGATCAATGTCAACTTTCAGTCGATTTCGTTGGTACTAGTATTTATCATTCACATTTAATATAGATCCTTACAGCAGCACTGTCTAACTTTTTTTATCTATTATATGATGATGCAGAGAAATTTGAATTTTTCAGAAATTCAAATTCATGATACTTTCAGGATCGTGAATCACTTGAAGGTTTTCTGGAAGAAAATGCTATTTATCAAGAATATTTTTTCATTACAACCATGGATAATTAACGATTTATGACTATATAAATCAGTTTCATTCCTACTTCTCTGTTGTGACATACACTGGTGATATAATTTCTCAAACTTTGTGCAGAATGTAGAAAACACCAATCTTCTCTGAGTTAGTGTGTATCGAACATCACAACAGATTTCTAGTAGTTTGTTCTGTGTATTTTTCTGTGGATACAATACAGTTCAAATAGTTTTATTGCATAAGAGTAGCACATATGTTACTTTATTTTGTTACATAAAAAGAACACACTAGAGAAAAAAACGTACTCTGTAGAAGAGTTTATTTGGATTTGGAACTAGTCAATCAGTTATTCTACGTGAAAAGTAAAAGTGTCAGATAAAGAGCGTAATCAGGCATCGAAACGATGTCTTTTACCAAACAAAAAAAAATTGTCAGCCACTAAATAATTTACTTTTGATCGTGTTTCGATGACTCTCTATCATAAACGTCATGATATCAAGCTAAATAATTTACCATGGTTTTTCCATTATGTTTCCACTATATTTTCAAAGATTCATATGGTTTGAATATATTTGGCTCAAATCGAATCTATTTTTAAGTAGAAGTGAGTTTTTAGAGATCTCTTAAGAAATGAGAAAAATTCAAAACTAAAGTTTTTGTCAGAGTAACTGTACATAGAAGTAATACAAAAGAATTTTCAATAACTATATTTTCAATTATAAATGATTTTTCTCGCTGTCATTCAATACTGTATTCGCAATAATTTTCATATTGACTCATAATAAGACAGACGTAATTAATCTAATTTTGACATTCGATAAATAGTGCATGCTTGTAGTCATGCTCTCTGTTTTGCCATTCTTTCTTTGTCGTCATCAACAACAACATACATTGTGTTTCGAAAATGAAAAAATAATTAATGGATTGAAGATATGTAGAACAGTCTTTTTAATAATTATATGTAAGCTAACACCAAGAGAGAGAAAAAAGGAAACATGTAATCGACCTATGTTATTCTTTAATTTGCATTAAATGACAAGAGTGCATTTTTTATGAATATATAGGTGAAATACGAAAATAGTAGACAAACAAATATATTATTTCTCTCGCTCTCTCTCGTTAATCGAAAGTATATATGTATTATTAAACATAATCATAACTCAATATAGACACGCACACATTACTAATAACGATCAATTAAATTTGAAAAGTAAGTGTATCGTTATTCTTATAGAAGATGATTTCGGTTTTATTTCTTCGCTTGTTTAGTATCATTTAAATATGATGAAATTAACTATCATCGTCGTCACTATTCGATTGTCTGTTACAATCGATTATACAATTCAAGATCTTAGATTCAGACCTGGGTGCAAAGCAACAGGTTCATTTTGTAAGTCTCCGACACAATGTTGTAGTGGGATATATCGTCGAAAATATATTGCTCCATACCAAACCGTGAATGCACCGTGCAACAAATCAAATACTATTTGTTGTTACGGATTAACATGCAATCAATTAACTAAAAGATGTTGTCGATTGATAGGTACCACGACTAGAACTCCATCAGAGTGTTGCAGTCAACAATGGAAACCATATTATATAATTCCTGGCGGAAATATGCATTCATCAATGCAGACGAGTAAATGAAACATGTGATCAACAAATCAATATTTGTTGCACTGGATTACAATGTGGATTGTGGACGAAGAAATGTTGCCAGCCAGCAAGGCAATGGGCTCTTAGTCAAGCTGAATGTTGTTCGCAATCTTGGACACCGAATTCTGTTAATATCGGTGGAAAATGCTGTAGTCAACATGGGCAATCATGTTCAGCTAACTCAGATTGTTGTTCAACACTTGATAATTGTTCAAATCATCAATGGCTGAAGCTTTGCGTTTAAATAAAAAATTTCATGCGTCGTACAGTGCCAGTTGTTAAGACACAAGAACAATATGTCTATTGACTTTGTTAAATACATCAATTTTTTAATGAAAAAACTATCTAAACTCTTATTAACATTGCTATACTCTCACAATCTCTTACTTTAAATATTTTGGTTTTAATGAATTTCAAAAAATAAAATAAAATCAAACAAACTGGATCCTCAATTGCTCTTTTGATTCGTATTTTCAGCATATTCTTGTGGATCTCGAATTCCATCGAAGATTGAAGTAGACTATCTGAAATGGCATTTTCTGATGTGTTAAGGACTCGAAAATAGACCGTTTCGATGGTTTATTCCAACTGATACTTGAAAACCTCGATATATTCATCGTGATGGATATACCAATCAGAGCGGTCGATTTCAGAATCCCATGTCTATCGGAGGATTCTTATCAAGCAGCTTCAAATGCTCGCAATAAGCGAATAAGAAAATTTTTTTTTCTGTGTATCTCTATTTTCCACACTCGTTGGTAGTATATGTAGAACATGAAAAAGTTGAGATTCCAATATATGTATATATTTGCAATTATCTAATATACGTCAACACGCTAATCTGAGCATGATTTCGTTTTCTTAGGTGGAAATCATGTTTTATGACGGAATGAAAAATACTCGGACTATATTTTCTAGTACTTTTTATTCAAATAGTTCTCGACAGTTCAACTGTATAAGGTTCAAGTAAATTCTAGTGCTACAAATTTCAAGTAGTTTTGTTGGTTTGAGTTAGACTTTTCAATGGCTAACTTTGAGTGAGATTGTGATAAAACTTGAGGGACTTCAAGGTTTCATATGACTCTAAATACTCATAACAGATAGAGCGACCGCAATTGTGCTTTCCACAGATGTAAGCGAACAAACAAGATATTCACTATACATGTGCAATATAAGATATTCTTTCTTTCTTTCTGTCGTTTCTTTCGTTGATGATATTTTCCCTTCTCTCTTCTCTCTTGTCCTTTCCTCTTCTTTGCTCTATGCGATTCGAACTCTGTTTTTTTTTAACTTGAAAAAGTATATAACATCTTTTTTTACAAGTATATCTTAGGTGGGATTAAACCTAAGANAAAAATACTGAGGATTAGATGAAACACTTTGTGTATCGTTGTACTTGTTCTTTTACACTTCTTACAAATTAGATGGGCATCTTTAATCCTCATGAATGATTATTTTTCTAATATTTGCCAACGACTTTCTTTTTGGAATTGAGATATATAAAACAAACATTTGGATATTTGTGTAATAATTTGATGAAAAAATAAATTTCAAGTCCTCCCGCCTCACATGTATCGAATTTTGTTAATTAAATAAATCGATGCATATTTTATCAAAGTTGAGATTTTTATTTTTTCGTTTATGATTTTTTTCTCCTTTTTTTTCAGCTAGTGCTGAAACTTTAATTAAGAAGTTTTCATGAAACACATGCCGGTCTTCCTATCCAATCGGATAAATATTAATATATAATATTATTGAAATCTTATTTGCATTTCTTCGTAAATCTGTCATGCACTGAGAATTCGATTTGATTATCTGGAGACATGAGTACAGACTGACGAATTTTTGTTTATACTAATCTTGCCTTTACATCAGTTATATTCCTCAGTATACGCCTATTCTAAAACTCATCAATCGACTATTATTTCAATGAAACTCTATCACGATCGTCCTACTTTCGATATTGATCAAATCTTATTTATATCTAAAAGTTTCTTTGTCACGCTCAGTATTAATTCTATTATGCCTATAGAGGATTATTCTCTCAGTCGTTCATGTCTCCAGACATTTATAACGACATATGTATATATATATAATCTTCTTTTTTTTACCTCTTGCACTTGTTCATTTAGTAATTCATCAACAACATGATATTTTAGTTCTTGTTGTATTCCACTATCATTAATATTAACATGATCATCTGGAGTTCCACCACTAACTTGCTAAAAGATAAAAAATAATCAAACTTAATCGAAAGTTGTTTTTTTAAATTAACAAACATTTTCCAGTACACAAATTACACCAAAATCTTTCATTTTTTCATTTAATAAACTTTCTAAGTGTTGTTTGCGTGTTTTCATTAAATCCATTAATTGTTCAACATCAGCTTCAATTTGTTCATTTTGTATAACATTTATTGAAGCTTAAATAAAGAATAAAAAAATAAATAAAATAATTCGTTTTCTTTATTTTTTTTACCACTATTCGATCGAGATAATGAGCCATTTGGTATCATGTTATCAATTGTTAATGTTATTGTTGAATTATTTAGTTCACGTACAAGATCATTGATTTGTAACGATTGATTCTGCTATGAAAAAAAATCAAATTCTTTTCTTATTTCAATTAAACAAATATCTATGTAATTTAAACATACACGACAATTTCTTTTATCAAGATAAAATTGATGTTGTGCTACAGCCATAGACCAAATAGCTTTACAATATTGTGGAGAATTTGTAAACCATGCACGAACTTTAATATTTGGTGTTGGAGGAACTCGACGACCTGCTGACATTCTTGAAAACAAAAGAAAGAAAATTAAATGATTTAAAAAAAAAAATAAAAGTTTTTACTGTGTTGATGGATCATGAATAGCATCAATAAGTTTATCATCTGTTTCCGGTGCAGAAACATTTGTTGGAATTGATGAAGATGATAAAAAATGTGTTGTTCTATTTAGAAAAAAAAGTCATAAATCAAAAAAAAATTAAACTTATCGTACTCTAAATCATGAACTTCTAAAGAAAATTTTCTATCACGATAATATAAATTTTCCAATTGTCTCCAATAATAAATCTATATTTAAAAAAATTTAACATTAACAAAATTATTTTTTATTTTTAAACAAACATATTTACTTTTACTGGTGTTTCACGATCATGATAATTATACACAGAAATTCCAATAAATGATATACCCAAATAAGCATATACATTATTTTTATTCTAAATTTTAATATAATCTCATTTTTTAGTTTTCTTTTTTTAGAATTTCAAATCTTACTCTAACAAGAAAATAATGTGAACCATATGATGGTAGATTTTCAGCTAACATCATATATCTAATATAAATAAAAAAAATGTAAAATAAATTTGTTTGTTTTAATCAAAAACAACTGTATATCTTACTTAACAACACATAAACCTCGTACAAGTTCACGACATGCTTTATAATGATTAATTATTTGATCTTCACTGAAAAAAAAAAAAAAAAAAAAATTACATTTATTAGAAGAATTTTAATTAAAACAATATTTTACCAATATCTTCTTGATATATTTCTGTCAACAACACGTTTTGGTAAAACACAGACTCGTTTTATTATATTAATAGCTGCTTCATCACTACAAAAGAAATTCTTCATTCAAAATACAACAAACAATAAAAAGAATACAAACTTTGTATAATCTCCAGCAACAGCTTGTACAACAAGACCAGCTAATTGAAACAATGTATTATCATTTGTATCGATTATTCCCTATAACAATCAAATATGTATTCATTTATTTGAATTGAAAGGTTTTTCTTACTCGATAAATCGCATAACGTGTTGATAAAAAGAAGAGCATGACTGTAGTTGCATTTTGTAGCCATAGAAATGATTTAAATACAAATCTAATAAATAATCAAAGGATGAAAAAAATTTTTATTAAATTAAAATAAGATAATATACCTGACAGCGAAATAAAGAATAGGAGGAGATGAATCACGTTTAAATACTTCTTGATCGAATAATTTTTTATCAGATGGAAGCCACATACGTTCATCACTTGATATAAAAAAAAGAAGATCAGAATTATATAGAATTCATTTAAATATATAATCCAATATAATTAAAGCAAAAAAAAAGAACATTTGTCAAATTCCGTTAGAAATAATTTCTATAAAACTTCAACCACCAATGAAACAATTTTACTATCATTTTTAATCGGTATAATTATCGTTTAATGAATGTATATTTCAATTCAAGAAAAGTAACAATTTCACAAATAAAATACCTGCTATTGAAATAATCTGGCCAACGTATGACAAGTTGCTTGCGTTCTACACTCAAAATATTAAAAAAAAAAAATGGTCATAATTCTTTCCCCTTCTGCATCAATACTTAAAGGCTTACAACATCCCTGCAAGCCTTGGATACAAATTCGTGGCAATATAACCAAATGGAACAAGGCATAAAATGCTTGTAATAATTTAATGTTAGACTTTTCAGAAAAAACAACGTTTATATTTGAATAAGTGGTTTATTTGAATGTATAGAACTCTATTTTATTGAAAACTGAATTTTTGACTGAAAAGTTCTTAAATGACTACATCCATAATCTTTAAAACTTGTAATTTTATTTATTATACTTGTTTAACGATAAAATTTTTTTTTTCAAAAAGTTGACTTAATAAAAATGTTCTTCTTTGTCGTATTTGAAAAAGTCAATCATTGCTTTTTTAAGTATTCATATTATGCTTTTTAAAATTGATGAAATATAAAGCAATTTGACATTTTATAAAAAAAAAAAAACAAATGCATAATCAATTGTATATGCCGATTGACAACAAATATTTATTTGCAATTTCGAACGATCGATTTACTCAATAAGTTAAAGAACAATTTGAAGGACTTTTCAAATGTACATAGCATTTCGTTCTTTTTTTCTTTTTCTTGTTTGTTACATTAATATTTATTTCATATAATAAATAACTTACTTTTCTTCATAATAAACACCAAAATATTCTATTTCACTTAAATGATATTGTCGACTGATTTCATTTATTAAATCGGTTACTGTTTGTTTGCTCTAATGTAATAATAATTGATACAAAATGTTTAATCTTTTTTTTTAATTCAGAACTTACATTAACAGATAGATCAAGTTTCCTATCATCTAATAATTTCAGTTGACATCGTCGGGTTGTCTCCATCTAATATTGAAATAAGAATGAAAAAAAAAGAATAAATAAAAATAGAAGTAAATAAATAAAATCAATGTAGACAGATAATTTTTCTTCTATTATTTTCTTACATGGATATGAGAATCTAGGTATTGTTTTGTTTTTTTAACTCTTTTCTTTAATTGTTTTTTCGATGATATTATCGTCATTGTTGACGATAGGAGACTTGGTGAAAAGTAGCACTCACTTTCTTCACTACTACTCATGAAATTATATACATATATATGAAAGAATTTTTGACATTGACAACATCAAGAACGAACATGATGTTGTTATTGTAATCTATATTCATTTTTTTTCAACAAATACGATCATTTTTGGTGGCTTCTATTGCACACAGTTGGTGGTAGACGACAAGATCGTTTCGCATTCATTCTGTATGCATGCGAACGAAGAAAAAAAAAGGTCCTTACAACTATTTTTTCCAGATATAATCCAATTTTCTACGAATCAATGCGAAAAGAAAAACAAACAATTAATGGATATCACTTACTCGACATGAGAATAAAACATTTTTCATAATTAACTTATGAACCAAAATAAATCAAAAGAATTTTATTATTTCTATTGAATTTAATCGTAATTCATTTATTAAAACGGGGGGAAAAAAGAGAAAAATTTTTTCTTTCTTTTCTAAACTGTCGGTATCAAGCATTATTACATCTACTTAAATATTTCCGATCGAATGTTTCGAATGTCAATATTTTTATGCTTTTATTGGTAAAAAAGAAAAAAAGAAAGGGCTCAGTATCCATATGAACTATTACTTAAAATGTTTATCCTAATAAATTTTAAAAAAAGTCATATAAATGCAATTGCATTACGAAAGAATAAATATGGCTTCAGTAGTTAAAAGTCCTTACATCTATTTCAGGGACCTTAGAACACACATAAGGAATGACGTTGATTAATGTAAGAAAAATCGAATGTTCTTTTTCGTTTGAATAGATCATTTAAGATAACAGAAGGTCAAATGGATTAATATTCATCGAAAATGCTCACCTTTTTTCTTCGATAAAAATATGTCAATTTAATTAAAATTTATCATTTATATTTTAGATTCATCCTAATTAAAAAATAAAAAAAAAGGAACTTTGGACAATAAAATCATTATTCATTTTAATCTCACCCCTATTCATTATTCTTTTATTTCATTGGTTTATATTTACCATTATTATCTTATTTAAACCTTCATTTTCAATGTATAGAGAAAATTTAAATAAATAAAATAAAATAAGATTTTTATTTTTCATTTATTTATCTTTTTCTTTTTTATTTCAAATAAAAACAAGTTTATTTTATATATTTATTTAAATACATTCACAACATATCTTATATTCTTTCTTTTTTATCCAGAATATCCACATTTATGTACACAAATAAGCAACAAACATTGTTAAGTCAGTGAAGTTACAATTTTCTCTTAACTAATCGTCTTATTTGAAAAATTAAATTAAAACAAAAACAAAATGTCTGTCGCATCTACAACACATATTGGATCTTTATTAGACAAAATGTCATCGAGTGATAAAGATTTTCGTTTTATGGCAACATCGGATTTAATGAATGATTTACAAAAAGAATCAATTAAATTAGATGATGATAGTGAACGTCGTATTGTAAAAGGTGTTCTAAAATTGTTAGAAGATACTAATGGTGAAGTACAAAATCAAGCTGTTAAATGTCTTGGTCCATTAGTATGTAAAGTAAAAGAACCACAAATTGAAATTATATGTGATACATTATGTTCAAATTGTACAAATATGTCTAAAGATGCTGAGCAATTACGTGATATATCAAGTAGTGGTTTAAAAACTGTTATTGCTTCATTAGCAACAACTAATTCAGGAGCTACAAATAATATATCAAAAAAAATTATGCAACGTTTATTAACAGCTATACAACAAGGTACAACAACAAATAATACAAATGCTAAACAAAAAACTAATAATAATACATTGGATTTAGCTAATGGTGGACAAAGTCAATTGGAAATATTAGATATAATTAGTGACATGTTATCAAGATTTGGTGCAAATCTATCGTCATTTCATACACAATTAAAACAAATTTTATTGAGTCATTTAAATTCAAATCGATCAGCTGTTAGAAAACGTGTTACTACGTCTCTTAGGTATGTCAAACTTTTCGTACGGATAGCCTTTTGCTTTATTTATCAATTATAATATATTTATACAATTGCGCAATAAGTAGGATGCTCCCATATGATTCATTCAAGGTCACCTGCCGTGATTTTTGTTTAATAGATCGATTTTATATTTTGATTATGAATAGATCTATAAAAGGATTTATGGTTGTTCTAGAGGAATATTTTATCCTATCATGAAAAAAAACTTAAATAAAGAATTTCCAGGTCAAAAAGAAACCAGACATAAGGTCTTGTAACATTAGATGAAATCATACAAAAAGTCATAATTTTAGAAGTTTTACACTAAATCGTACTATAAAATCCTTGACAGATTTTACCGTCACACAAGGTTTTTCAAGAATCTTATAATACAAATAAGCATAAGATTTCTGATACTAAGATTTTTTTGTACAGTTTTCATCTGATCTTATAGGGTCGTACATGATCAGAACTAAATCTTTGTCCCAGAAATCTTACAGTAAGTCATATTAGTAAATCCTGCTGTCGCATAGGATGTCGTTATAAGACTGGTAGAAAGTCTAAGTAAAAAAATTCTGATTTGAGATTCTTGCAAATCAGACGAAATCTTACAAGAATCGTTTGAGAAATTATCGACTCTGAAATTGTGTGCTATACCGTATAATAAGCTTCTTGAAAAGCTTACCAATACATGAGGTTTTTTTATAACGGCATAATGATATTTTACAAGGCAGCAAGATCTTTCGAGAATCTTATTAAATAATTTAGTGTAAGATTTCCAAGACGAGGATTTCTGTCGGATCTTGTAAAATCAAAGGTACGATTTCAGAAGATCTTACCATCTGATTGGTTGATCTGAGAATCTTCTGCTACAGTAAAATCTTTCAAGGATCATAGTAAAATTTAGTGTAAAATTTCTGAGATTATGCTTTCAACTGATCTTATAAGAAGTTAGATCTGTTTTTTTTTCACTTGACTAGTCAAGTAAATATTTACCCTAGATAGACTAAAATAAAATATTTCATATGCTAGCAAGCCTAAAAAGAGCAGGCAGATAAGTTCAAATCTAGTCTTTGATCAGTTTGATATCATCTAGTATCATATATCTATTGTTACATTCTTTTGTTGAAGCTATGTAGAAACATAGACTAATAAAGTAGATTGTTAAAACTTTTTAATATCGTTAATACATCTAAAATATATTCCCATGTGTCCTCTCCGTTCCAATATCGGTAACCTCGATACATCCTCGAAAATATCGTCCGTTGTATCTTCAATCATAATTTATCGTTATCATGAGCTGCTTTCGAATAGTCCATATCTATTCTAGGTTTTGTGTACACCAGAAAGTAAATTATTTTCGATGAACACTTGTCTATTTGATAAAAATTAGAATATATTTATTCATGAATGTTTCATCAACAAACAAAAAACAATTTTCACATATTAAATACTTTCTTCTTTTTTTTCTGAGAAAAATTGATTCTATTAAATATATATTTATTTATAGTTATCTTTTGGAGACATGTGATCTTCAATTATTTAATGAAATTCTTACTACTTTACTTAATGAGCTTCAACGTAAACCAACATCTGCTTCTGTGAACAAAAAATCTGCATCAGCCGAAGCAAATGCTACAAGTAATAAGCAAGAAAAGAAAAGCACTCATTTTTATATAAAAAGAATTTTTGTTTTATTATTTCAGTTAAAACTTATGTTCAAGCTTTAACATCAATATGTCGTTTAGCATCGCAACGTTTAAGTGAACATATGCATGAAATAGTTCGAATAACACTTTCATTTATTGAAAATACTCCATCAAATAATAATAATGATGATCAACAATATGATGATGAACTTATTGAATATTGTTTACAAGCACTTGAAACATATTTAAAACGTTGTCCAAAAGAAACAAATGAATTTGTACCAAAAATTGTTGATATTTGTATTGTATATTTAAAATATGATCCAAATTTTAATTATGATGGTAAATAAAAACAATTTATCAAGCTTTATTATTATTATTATTATTATTCTTTGTTTAGATGATGAAAATACAATGAGCGATGATCAAACTGATGATGATGATGCCGATGATGATAAAGGTATTTATTCATCCTATATAAAATATACTAAATAGATAAAATAGTTAAACTAGTAGTGACAATGAGAAAGTAATGTTTTCAGTCTGATTCAACCAAAAATAATAAATTAATTCTATTGGAAATCAGTTTGATTCTATATACATGGATACGATGGGCATTGTAACTAATCGAGCGACATATAATCAAGTTGCAAATTTACCAAATGATGTTCACGGTAACAATTGATATGCTTGTAGTCGAACTAAAATGTTATAATGCTTGTTTTTTGTCGACTGAACCATATAGGACGTTTCGAAGTGGTTCTTTTCATATTGATTTCCATGAATGTTAATTTGTTATTATTTTTTCTTAGTTGATCTGGGCTCAGAAAAATGTTCGTCCAATGACTATTCTATAATTAAAGTTTTTCGCGAGACATACAAGTTATTAAAATACTGCAATAAAGTTGGAATACTAATTGAATTTTTCTAGGTACTTCGTTATCAGAGAGAAAAGTGATAGAGAAAAAAGGCAATAGGAATATCTTATAGACGATACTATTAGACTGCTCGTTTATTACACTTTTGCATACTCAATCAGAATACGAAAGAGTATTTACAGATTTATTACATAAGTGAAAGAGAACTAGGATCACACTCGTACAAGAATCTAATGATAAAAAACGATAAGAACGAACCAATGTCAAATATTTGTTTCTACTACCTCCGATAAAAGAATAACTATTGGTATAATA